GTCTTTTTTGAGACAGGGTCTCTCCATGCATTTCAGGCTGGCCTGGAGCTCACTTTGTAACCCAGGCGGTCTCGAAATCACAATGATCCTCCCTCCTCAGCCTCCCGAGTGCTGGGATTACAGGCATGAGCCACCACGCCTGGCTCTTAAAAGATATTTTTAAGGAAATGGAATACCAGCCATAGATTAGGAGAAAATCCATGCAAAGTGTACAATGAACTTGTCCCCAAGGTATGTAAAGAACTCTCAAAACTCACTCCTAGGAAAATAAGCAAGCCAAGAGAAAATAGGCAAAAAATTTGAATGACACTTCCTCAAAGAAAATTAAACTGATGGCAGTTGAGTACTTAAAAATAGATCCGATGTCCTTAGTCATTAAAGAAAATGTGGAAACCACGATGAGAAAGGCTTGTGTGTCTAGCAGGATGAGAATGCTAAAAAGAAGAAACATCCACGGTGACAAGTCCGTGAGGGGATGTGAAAGTTCTCATACAGGGCTGACGGAAACGTAAAGCGATGCAAACACGTTTTAAACCCGCTTGGCAGTTCTTTATAAAGGTAAACGTGTCCCTGTGTAGCGCTTGGAGTTCCACTGCTGCGCGTTTACCCAAGAGAAATGCATGCGGATTCCTGTACCGTGACATGGAAGCATTGTTTGTTGAAGGCTTCAGTGACCCACACGTCTGTCACAGGTGGCCAGGTCATCTCACTTGCACATTTATGCAGTAGACAACATGTACCCAGCGGTAGACAGGGATGTGTGTAGAGCAGTGTCTTGCACAAATCTCATACTAATCGTGCAGAGTAAAAGCGCCCCCTCCCCGCCGCACAGTATGCCCGGAAGCACTATGTACTGTAGAATTCCATTTGCATAACGTTCTAGAAAAAAGGCAGACTATTCTTTGGTGGCAAGAGGTACATAGGTGGCAGCATGGGGAGTTGAGGGGAAGGGCCAGGGGAAGCGGTTTGTTTTGTTTTTTTTTGAGACAGTCTTGCTGTCTGGCTGGCCTTGAACCCACTATGTAGCCTAGGCTGGCCTCATACTTATGGTGATCCTCCTGCCTCACCCCCCAGTGCTGGTATTACAGTGATGTGCCACCATGCTGGGCCAAAGGAAGCTTTAGAGGGTGATGGATATGTTGTTTATTTTGATTGCAAATCACTGAGTTTCATCAGTGTACAGATACATAAATGGGTGCATGTGTGCATATATGTATATATCTACAGCTCAAATATCATGCACTTTAAATATGTAGTTTATTTATTTATTTAGGTACCAGGGATCAAACTATGACCTCGAGCTTGCCACACAGCACTTATGCTGCTGGGCTAAATCCCCAGCCTCCTGTACAGTTTACTATATGTCATTTGTATCTTGGCAAATTCATTTTAACAAAAAGTTTGCAAGAGCAAGTTTACAAATATTCTGAGGAAAGAACTAAGTGATGAGGAAATGCGAAGTTATGGGCGACAGCCAGGCTTGGTAGCATAAGCCTGTAATCTCAGCAGGAGAGACTGAGGCAGGAGGAACCATTTGAGTTCCAGGCCAGCCTGGGCTACCTAGTGAGTTCAAGGCCAGCCTGCACTACATAGCAACACCTTGTCTAAAAAGAAAAACAAATGATAGAGAAGAGCGAGAACTGTGGAGAAGCCATTCTGTATCCCTAATATTCTTTTTGTTGTTGTTATGGGGAATTAAACTCAGGACTTTGCGCTTGCCAGGCAGGTGCTGTGCCACTGAGCTGCACCCCTGCCCATCTCTGGCGTTCTGAAATCTCATGGTGATACATTTAGTTATTTACGCTTTTTCATTTTTTATTCTCATGATTCTGTGAGCCCTTAGAACAAGAAGACGTATGTGTTCCTTTAGACATTGAAGTGCACTCTTGCTATTGCTTTGGTGATATCCTTTTCTTTGCTAGGCTCAGGAATTAGACTTAGGTTTTATTTACAATTTATTTTGGGGTTCTGGGGTCCAAACCCAGCTTTGGGGCAGCTCTTTGAGCTCTCTGTTGCTGCTGAGCCGCACCATCAGCCAGTGAGCATTACGAGGATGCGGTAGGAGATACACTGGGAGAAATCTGCCTCCCCAAGCCACCGACAGCCACCCCGGGGAGCCCTTCTGTGGGCTGATGGGAGACATCTGGACTCCAGGACTCAGGTTAGGCAGGCTGGAGGCAGGAATGGAAAGAAAGGGAAGAAGTTTAGTTTCCTACATGTTCTGAATGCCAGTGGCTCCCCAGCCGGGAGATTAGAAATTGTACTGTCTCTGGAGCAGCTGAACAATCCTGTGGAAAGATCTGTGGAGCCTGACTGTTGGGAATATCCAGTTAAAAACATCCAGCCAGCCACTTTCTTGCATCCTTCCCCCTCCCCCACAGAGCTGCCCCAAAGGCCCCCATTCCTAAATACAAATGCACAGCTAGGGAAGAGAAAGGTACTTACCAGAAATATGAAGATGAAAAGATTCTGTATCCGTGAAACAAAGGCAAGATGCCATAAAAGAGGACAATTAAGAACAAAAAATTCATTGATTAAAGATAATGAGATGGCTAATAAAACAAAGGAAGAAGGGTCAGTGTAATAAGAACTGGAGAAAGGTAGGCCAGACAGTGACGGACGAACATTATCTAAGAACCAAGAGAAGTTTTCCAGATTGCAAGATAAATTTCCATATTCAAAGGACTCAGGGAGAGTTCAGCAAATGACAGTTAAAGACTTAATTCAAAGCTTATCCTCAGGCCTTTCAGAGAAAGGTACCGAGGCTATTAAGGAAGAACTAACAGGACTAATAAGTAAGAACAAATATCTCCCAAAAGCAAAATTAGAGGCAAACCATGGAGGCTTCCAAATTCTAAGTGAAAACTGTTTTAAACCTATAGTTTATAGTTTTTACCAGCCAAACTATTAACAATGCGCATGTAGAATTAAGATGTTTTCAGACGCATGCCAAGTGTCAGGAAAGTTTCCTTCTTAGGAAGCTACTAAAATACATGTTTACCAAAGTGAACCAAGACAGATGTAGATACGGAATTCTCGGAAACAGGGTCTTCCACAGAAGATGGGGGTGAGGGCCCCTGGTGGGGTCTGGGAATCACAGAGAGCCACCCTGAGAAAGGACAGGGCTGGGAGAGGAAGGCCCCAGGGAGAAGGGAAGTAAGTTACTTGGGAGCCCCTGTGTGTAGAAGATGGGGAGAGTGTTCCAGAGCCCTTAGATCGCACGGAAGACTTGGGTGCGTGTACTACAGGAATTCAAGTGAATGAAGATTTGCAGCAAGAAAAATCAGCCTTACAGGAAAGGAAACGCAGTCGTGAACAACTGATGACGAGAAGCACAGCATCAATTTCCTACAACTTTAATCCTGCAACTTTTGGGAGGATGGAGAAGAGAAAGGGAAGGAAGGACTTTAAAACCCGTGCTATTGAGATAATGTTGCTGTTTTAAATAGATAAATCAGGACATGTGGCTTTGGCACTGACTTTGATATTCTTTTCTTCAGTAAGACCTGGTGACCTGAACCAGCCCATTTAATTTTTAAAAAGATTTTAAGTTATTACTATTATTATAGCAGTGTTGAGAATTGAACTCAGGGCTTTCACACTGAGCTACACCCTCATCCCTTTCTGTTTTTATTTTGTGACAGGGTCTCCCTAAGTTGCTTATCTGCCTAGGCTAGAGTCCAAGTTGTGCACCTCCTTCCGCAGGTGTCCCAGGGTGCTGGGGTTATAGGTGTGCGCCACCCTGCTGGGCTCAGCGTGTTGCTTAGAAATACAGAAACAGATGCAGAGTAAGAGGCGGGCACGCATTTTACTCGGTCACCTGTGTTGGCCTTCGTGTGTGACAGTAGGCGACCTTACACCCGTGACCAGTCAGGGAGGGAAGGAGTGGGGAGACCCCTTCCTCCCAGGGCTCAGCGGGAATGCCGGGTGCGGCAGGGCAGGGAGTGGCAGGTCAGAGAATGGCAGCTGGGCACTCAAAGTGGTCTCCGTCTCTAGGGGCCCTCAGGATGGCTTTGGGAAGCTGAGGCTGGCTGGCCGCCCTGTGCTTTGGGGTGGGCAGCTGGTTGGTTAGACTGAGCTCCCCAGTGGAGATGCCTGGAGTCCCTTGGGGGCATGGATGGGCCATGGGGGGCTTCGGGAAGGGAGACATGGCCACACATGCCGGCCCCAGGAGGAGCCAGAGCCACCTGCTGCTGTCACAGGTTTTGCTGGTTTGCTTTCACAGTGAGGTCTGGGTACAGGTCGGGGTCTCAGTGGAGCTCAGTGGGGAGAGGCAGAGGGGGCTCATCCCATGCTGGCCTATAGAGCTGCCAGGCAGGGAGGATGTCGGTGGGGCGAGGCAGAGAGCACTGTGTGCAGCCACTGTGTTGCTTTCGGCCTCTGGCGCCTGTGAGCTGGTGGGGAGGGAGCTGGCAGGGCTGTGTCTGGTGGTGCCAGTGCGGTGGCCTTAGCTTTCCATACCATGGTCTGATGGCAATGGTGCTGCTTTTTTTCTTTCTACCAGACAGACAAGACCTTGAGGGGCTGGCTGTGTAGGGTTTTTGTTTCATTTCTACTTTTCTGTTAGTTCATTTGTTTTTTTTCCCCCAGGGGGTGGCAATGGTGCATATATTGTGGTTTGTCATCCCCAAAGCATTCACCCAGAGTACAAGATCTACATTCAGTTGGTTGGATTTTTGGAGATAGAGCTTCCCGCTGTAGCTCAGGCTGGCCTTGAACTCGAGGCTGTCCTCCTGCCTCTGCCTCCCAAGTGCTGGTCTTACAGGGCTTCTTTTCAGTTTAAACAAACGGTTCTGAAGCCATTCGTGCCTGCCTTGACACTGGGATGGACCTGTGGCCTGGAAGGCCGCCCTCCCCGATCTTGGGGAGATCGAATTTCTGGGCAGGCGCTGTGTGGAGCGTGGGATCAGGGGCGCAGCCCTCCACCTCCACCTCGTCCAGCCCACCTTCCCTGGGTGGAACAGGGCTGTCCCTGAGTCCTGGTGCCTCTCTCCATGCAGAGCATGAAGGGCTTCGAGGAGGGTGTGGAGTTCCTGCCCGTCAACAGCACCAAGCAGGTGGAGAAGCGCGGCCGGCGGCGCTGGGTGCTGCTGGCTGCCCTGCTGCTCGGCCTCCTTCTGCTCGCGCTCGTGGTGGGCCTGCTGGTGTGGCACTTCCAGCGTGAGTGTGGTGGGCACCCCAGGATGCTGCAGTGGGCAGGGGCATGTGGGAGGGGGCGCTGTCTCCCTGGAGCTGCCCCCCAACTGCTCTCCCGGCTGGGTGCAGGCCGGGATGTGCAGGTGCAGAAGATCTTTAATGGCTACCTGCGGATCACCAACGAGAACTTCTTGGATGCCTATGAGAACTCGAGCTCCCCTGAGTTTCTGAATCTGGCCAGGAAGGTGACAGAAGCGGTAAGTTCATTGCCAGGTTATGGGACCCGGTCCCATCAGTACTGGGGGCTGAGGTGGGAAGGGCCATCGCTGTGCTTGCCCTGTCACGAGTCTTGTCCCCTACCCCAGCTGAAGCTGTTATACATGGAGGTGCCAGTCCTGGGCCCCTACTACCGGAAGTCGGCCGTGACTGCCTTCAGGTGGGTGTCGGGGACTTCCGGGTGAGTAGTCCCTCGCCCATGGGTGATGGGATCCGTGTGGTGTTGCATATGGGATGAGGTGCCCTGGCTGGAGAGTGTGTTTTGTGCTGTCCTTCATGTGGGTGGCTTGGCACGCTGAGTTCTGTGTCTCCATGAGGTGCCCTGGTGCCCTGGGATGCTCCGCCCTGTGTGTTGCATCCAGGAAATGGAACAATTATTTTTCCCAAATTTTGGTTTGAGGGTATTGGGGTGCCTAGGAGGGCTTCCTGCAATCATGCTGTTCAAAAAAATAAACTTTGTTCTCAGAGCACATTTTTTAGTGGTACTGGGGATTGAACCTAGGCGGCCTAGCACATGCTAGACAAGCACTCTAGCTTTGACCCACATCCCAAGTCCCTTTGAGATGGTCCCCTGTACTGCCCAGGCTGGCCTCCAACTCATGGTAATCCTCATGCTTTAGTCTCCCAAGTGTGGGGGGTCTCAGGCGTGCCCCACCACACCCAGCTTTTGGTGGAAGGGAGATGGGCATGGCCATTTGTCCAGCCTGACTTTGAACTCCTGGACGCAAGTGATCTTCCTGCCTTTGCCTCCTAAGTCCCAAGACTATAGGCAGGCCTGTGCTGCTGTGGCTGATCTCCGAAGCACTTCCTTTTGCTAGTTCAGTTGACTCCTCAGGAATGCTGGGTGGCAGGTAGCAGTCTCATCTCCCTAGTCAGAAAGCAGTGGGGCTGGGGATTTAGCTCAGCGGCATAAGCGCCTGCCTTGCAAGCAGGCAGTCATGAGTTCGATCCCCGGTACCGATAAAAAAGGAAAAAGACAAAAAAGAAAGAAAGAAAGAAAGAAAGCAGTTCCAGGAAGGCTGGCATCAGGCACCATGTCAGCGGTCAGACTCCCGCTTAAGTACTTGCCTCGAGCAGGCTCCCGAGTGTGTGCAGTGGCCGTGAGAGCTGGAGAGTGGGGGGCGAGTGGTGGGAGTGCTTGCTTGGAGGATCGCAGGGACCCTGCAGCACTGGTGGTCCAGAGGAGACTGTGGGTCCTCAGGCTTGCCCTTGTCTCCCCAGCGAGGGCAGTGTCATTGCCTACTACTGGTCGGAGTTCAGCATCCCCCAGCACCTGGAGGAGGAGGCAGAGCGGGCCATGGCGAAAAAGCGGGTGATCACGCTGCCGCCCCGGGGCCGGGCACTCAGCAACTTCATGGTGACCTCGGTGGTGGCCTTCCGTGAGTGGGCAGGAGGGATGGGTGCATGGAGACCGGCCTGCAGGGAGGGAGCTGGGACACTGGAGAGGACGCTGCTGGCTGGTGGTCGCCTCCTTAGGATGCTAAGGAAGTGTAGATTGTGACAGGGAATATTCTCCCTCTCGTTCTTCAGCCACTGACGCCAGGGCATTGCAGAGGACCCAGGACAGTAAGTATCCTGCCCCCACTCCCAGGTAGAGGAAAGGAGGGGTACAGTCATGTGATCCTTCAGCCAGGAGGTCCCCAAAAATCAGATGGTGGCGATGGCAGTGGGTCTGAGAAGTCACCTGCCAGCCTCCCACTGGGTCTGGCAAAGTCTGGGGTTAGATGGCCCAGGTGTGGGTGTCTCCAGCCTCCCCCAGCTCCGCCAGCTCCAGCCCACACATGCTGCTCCTCTCTCCTGTGCAGACAGCTGCAGCTTCGCTCTGCATGCCCGAGGCAAGGAGGTGACGCGCTTCACCACCCCTGGCTTCCCTGACAGCCCCTACCCGGCTCGTGCCCGCTGCCAGTGGACTCTGAGGGGCGATGCGGGCTCCGTGCTGAGCCTCACCTTTCGCAGCTTTGACGTCGCCCCCTGTGATGGCCAGAACAGTGACCTGGTCACGGTGTACAACAGTCTGAGCCCCGTGGAGCCCCACACTGTGGTCCGGTGAGTGGCCTGGAGTGTTTTCAGGATAGGGCCCGGCCAGGTGTACTGTAGGCGGGGTACAGTTCATGGTTTTAGGCCTCTGGCCAAGGCGAAACTGTTGGGCAGCAGTGACAGGTGTCAGTCTAGGAGATTCGGGGAGGATACCTGGACTTCTCTTTCCCAGGGGTGCCAAGTCTGGCCAAGTGGGGTGCGCATCTCTAGCCAGGGCTGCTATGTAAATGTGGGCTTTGTTATTAATTGGTTCATAGAAGCCCACACACGCGGAGGTAAAGGTCATTGACAGGATGGTTGTCTTTCCCTGGGCATGGTGGCATACACCTATAACCCCAGCCACTTGGGGGCTGAGGCAGGATGGTTGCCAGTTCAGGATCAGCCTGGCAACGTGGGGAGATTCTGTCTCAAAAATGGTAAAAGTGCAGATGACAGAGCTTTGGGTTCAGTCACCGGTACTGGAAGAAAAAATGAAAAGAGAAGAGCCCCCCAGAGAACCGCGGAGGTGGGGTTGTGGGCGGGGCCTTGACTATGGTTTCCCTGGGGAAGAGAGGCAGTGCAGGCGGAGCCTGAAGCATTGGCCCTGGGGTCTGGTATCCACCCTGGGGGGTGCAGGCCCCAGAGGACAGAGCGGGGAGACGTAGGCTCTGAGTGGAGCGGGTTTGCAGGGCACAGCCAGAGCATCAGGAAATGACAAGCCGCATCGGCTGACCTGCGGCCAGCACTGGTATGGGCAGCCCAGCACAAGCATCCGCTGCAGTCCTGCCTGCCTGCTTTTCTTTCTTTCTTTCTCGTGTTTTTTTTTTTTTTTTTTTTTTTTTTTCTTTGTCTTTTGAGGCAGGGTCTCGCCTTGCATTTCAGGTTGGCCTTGAGCTCACTTTGTAGCCCAAGCTGGTCTTGAACTTGCAGTGATTCTCCTGCCTCAGCCTTCTGAGTGCTGGACTTTCTTGATTCAGTCCCAAACCAAGACCAGACCATCTTTTGTCACAACTTAGCAGCCGAGACCTCGGACTGAATGGGCACCTTTCCCATCTCTTTTACTGTCACATAAGAAGGACACAACCCTCAAAGGAAAGAAGTAGCAACCAGCAAGTGGAAGGGGAAAGTCACCCATCCGCTTCCTACCCAGGAGTGACCACTGTTGTGAGTGTGTGTGTGTGTGACCGCAGGCTGAACCCAGGACTTTTATAGCCACCCCCTTTTTTTTTGTACAGTTTTTGAGGAAGGGTCTCACTAAGTCACTATCTTGCTCCGATAGTCCACTTGCACTGTCAACTCTCCTGCCTCCACCTCCCAAAGTGCTGGCTTACACCAGCACGTGGGGCCACCATTGTTAGGCTTTTGATGTCCATTCTTCAGCCTTTGTTTGCTGTGTACTTATGTGTGTTTTCAGAAACAGGATCATACATACCTGCTTTTGCCCAATCAGTTGGCCTCGTTTGTAATGGTCTTGATAATTGCAACACTTCTAGAGCTCAGATACTCAAGTCTGGTTCTAGTCCTGCCACTTACTAACTGGAATCACAGGCAGGTCCCTGACTGTCTCTTTGCCTCCGTTGCCTTCCTGTGGGATGGGTGGTGGTGTCTGCTTCGTAGAGCTATCACAGAGGTTGTGAATTAATAGATATAAAAACTCTCAGTGGCTGCAGGTTAGAGCCGGGGGTTTAGCTCAGTGGCACTGCCAGGGAAGTGCGAGGCCCAGCATTGATTCCTGGTACCAATGAATGAATGAATGCATGAATGAATAAATGAAAATTTTGCCAAGAGCTATGCCTAGCCTGTTCTGTAGTGTCCGTTGTTACTTCTGGACCCTCTGTTGATCAGCCCCTAATTTACCTGCCAAGTCCTCGGTGGGGTCTTCGTCCCTAAGGCTCTGCTGCTTCATACATGGACGCTTGGCTTCTGCCAGGCCCCTCATCCTGGATGACTGGGGTGCAGGTGCAGCCCGGGTCTCCTGGGCCCTGGCCTCCCCCGGGAGAGTGGGTGTGCACATGTTCGAAACTGAGTGTGACCCCGCTGACTCCCTGTTGCTCTGCCCCGCAGGCTGTGTGGCGCCTACCCTCCCTCCTACAACCTGACCTTCCTCTCCTCCCAGAATGTGCTGCTCGTCACGCTGATCACCAGCACGGAGCGGCGCCACCCCGGCTTTGACGCCTCCTTCTTCCAGCTGCCCAAGATGAGCGGTGAGGGCGGGCGTCACTCCTGGCCTGGGAAGGAGCAGCCTCAGAGGGGACCAGGGCCCTGAGGCCGTGGCTCACCCTGCAGCTGGCCAGCTGGGCCTGAGTATCGACAGGGGCTCGAAGCTTGATCAACAGGGTGTCCCCACCCTCTAGCTTCTGGGCCCCCTCAGGGAGTGTCCAGGCGCTGCTAGGCAGTAGTAAGCCTTGGCACAGAGCTCCCATCCGCCCGCCCAGCTCACCAACCTTGGCCCTCACCCTCTCTCTTGCCTTCCCTCGCAGGCTGTGGGGGCTCCCTGCGTGAAGCGCAGGGGACATTCAGCACCCCCTACTACCCTGGTCGCTACCCGCCCAACATCAACTGCACATGGCACATCCAGGTAGGGGTGTGTGTGAAGGAGGGGATGGGGCAGATGAGGCAGGGCAGGGAGAGGCAAGACTCCTTCCAGGGCCCAACGCAGGCGCCCAGTGAGCTCCTGCTGTGGTGACAGGGCAAGGCCCCGGCTCCCTGATTGGTGACCGAGTGTGGGACAGGGCAAGGCCTCGGCTCCCTGATTGGTGACCGAGTGTGGGACAGGGCAAGGCCCCGGCTCCCTGATTGGTGACCGAGTGTGGGACAGGGCAAGGCCCCGGCTCCCTGATTGGTGACCGAGTGTGGGACAGGGCAAGGCCCCAGTTCCCTGATTGGTGACCAAGTGTGGGACAGGGCAAGGCCCCGGCTCCCTGATTGGTGACCGAGTGTGGGACAGGGCAAGGCCCCGGCTCCCTGATTGGTGACCGAGGCCCCGGCTCCCTGATTGGTGACCGAGTGTGGGACAGGGCAAGGCCCCGGCTCCCTGATTGGTGACCGAGTGTGGGACAGGGCAAGGCCCCGGCTCCCTGATTGGTGACCGAGTGTGGGACAGGGCAAGGCCCCAGTTCCCTGATTGGTGACCGAGTGTGGGACAGGGCAAGTCCCTGAAACCTGCTCCATCCTCCCCTGGGTACAATGAGGTGAGGATGCCCACGTGGAGTCGCTGGCCGGAGGACGTCAGAGGGGTGTAAGTCCCAGGGAGAGCACTCGTGAGAAGAGACAAGAGCTGGACAAGCAATCATGCTCTTCTATTTTTTTTTTTTTTTTTTATTGGTACTGGGGATCGAACTCATGACCGCACGCTTGCAAGGCAGGCACTTATGCCGCTGAGCTAAATCCCCAGCCCAATCATGGTCTTCTAAACGCAGCTTCTTACTAGTGCACAGCCGTCCCTCCCTTCAGGGAGCCATGGTCTACCATAGTCCAAAAAATAGTCAATGGAAAATTTCAGAAGTAAGCCATTCACAGCTGTGACTTCTCTGTTCTGCTCGCTCTGCCGGGGTGAGGTCATCCCTTTGCCCCATGTGTCCATGCCCTGTGGCAGTCATGCCAGGAGCCTTTGCTTTGCTGAGCAGTGGCCCCAGGTGCAGGGTCCCGATGCTGGCCCTGAGGACAGGCCAAAGAGTAGCCACAGGTGCTTCCTTAGATAAACAGGGACCAGTTTCACGCCAGACAGTGTTTCTGGGGCTGGGCCTGGGACTTTAGGTAAGGTTTTTATTAGTGTGTGTTTGTGATGCGTGACAGTTCTATTCGCTGGTGCTGGCATCACTGCCTCAACTGTCCTCAGATCAGCAGGTGTTAGATTCTCTTGGGGACCCAATAGCTTGGCTTCCTCGTGGGCACCCTATGGGTTCAAACTCCACCAAGAGTCTAAGCCCACGATGATCTGGCAGAGGCAGCTCACAGGTGGGGAGTGCTCATAAACATGCAAAGCTTCTCTTGTTTGCCTGACACTTCCTGCTGTACCACCTGATGACCCCTCCCAAGCCACTGACCTTTGGTACCTGTCCATGGCCTGGGATTGAGGACCCTTGAATTAAAAAATAAGTTCCCCCCCCCCAGAATAAAACCAAACCTTTACAGCTGGGCACAGTGGCACACACCTGTAATTCCAGCACTTGAGAGGCTGAGGCAGGAGGATCACCTGAGTTTGAGGACAGCCTGGGCTACATAGTAAGACCATATCTTCTTTTTTGGTACTGGGGATTGCACTCAGGATCTTGCACTTGCCAGACAGGCACTTACACCACTGAGCTAAATCCCCAGCCAGTGAGACCATATCTTGAAAAAGAAAAGAAAAAAAGAAAACCAAACCTTTATCATAGATATGTCTACATAGGAGAAAAACCCCTACAGAATACAGAGTTCAGTGCGAGAGCCATCAGCATAGCGATAGCCCATGGATCTATGGGAACACGCCCGCCTGCCCGCCCGCCCTAAGTTTGCAGGGCTGCTGCAGTTTGCTGCCCTGCTCCATGCTGTCCTTCCTCCCCTCCAGGTGCCCAACAACCAGAACGTGAAGTTGCGCTTCAAATATTTCTACCTGCAGGAGCCCAACGTGGTGCTGGGCACCTGCTCCAAGGACTACGTGGAGATCAATGGGGAGAGGTGAGTCCTGGGTGTGCCGGAGATGGGAGGAGCGGGTGCCCTGTGCCCAGCCCAGCCTCTGAGCGAGCAGCTCTTCACCCCACGCTGTCCTCCAGGTACTGCGGAGAGAGGCCCCAGTTTGTGGTTACCAGCAAGAGCAGCAAGATCACCGTTCACTTCCACTCGGATCACTCCTACACCGACACGGGCTTCCTTGCCGAGTACCTTTCCTATGACTCCAAGGACCGTGAGTGACTAGTGCTGGGGTTGAAAGGGCAGGGCCGGCACGCACTGGAGCCTCTGCTCTGTGGCTCCAGATTCTCATGTGTGGGAGAGACAGATGTGTGTTGGGCTAGTGGCTTTTGGAGGAAAAAAATGTTGCCTGCTTGGGTTTATTTAAAAAGGCTGACAGCGCTGGGAGTGACTGTGCAGTGCATGCTTATAATTCCTGCACTGCGGCGCCTGAGGCAGAAGTTCCAAGTCAGCCTGGACACTGTAGCAGGACCCTGTCTCAAAAAAACAAAGAAAAATCTGACAGTGTCTGGGGCAGACGCCTTCCAGCTTCAGAATCACCGAGACTGGCCATCAGCTTAGTCAGAAGGGAGTCTGCGGTGCTTTTCACACTTGGCTAGGGTGCAACAATCACGGACTTGCCCTGCTGAGCCCCTGTTGTCACAGGCAGGGTGCCTGACACCCAGGGGCGAGGACACAGGGCAGAGGGGGCCCTGATGCAGCCCTTTCCCGGGGGTCTGCAGCTGGGGGCATAGGTGTCACCGGCTGGGGGGTGGTGTGGAACCTTATGTGGCGGGAAGGGGGCTGGGAGGGATCTGGCCCTTGATGCTGGCCTCCCGTCCACAGCCTGCCCGGGGATGTTCACCTGTGGCACGGGCCGGTGCATCCGGAGGGAACTGCGCTGCGACGGCTGGGCAGATTGCACGGACCACAGCGATGAGCGCAACTGCAGTGAGTGCTCACCTGGCCGCCACGCCAGGCCAGGCCACCTGGCACCTGTCCCAGGCACTCCATCTTGGGAATCTGCACTGCAGGAGGCCGAGGGGCTTCCTGACCCCTGGGTTGCAAGTTGGGTGGGTGCCTTCCTGGTAGCCCCAGGATGGGAAAATTCCCCATTGAGGCTGCCACCGAAGGCTGGGTTCCAGCATGGCCTGGGTTGAGTCCTGCCCTCACTCTGCTGTTTCCAGGTTGCAACCCCAGCCACCAGTTCACGTGCAAGAACCAATTGTGCAAACCCCTGTTCTGGGTATGCGACGGTGTGAACGACTGCGGGGACAACAGTGATGAGCTGGCATGCAGTGAGTGGGGTTGAATGGGGTGGAGCGGGGGGGGGGGGGGCTGTACCCCAGGCCCAGGGCTGAGGACCTGTGCTCCCCAGAGTGTCCTGAGGGCACCTTCAAGTGCACCAGCGGAAAGTGCCTCCCGGAGAAGCAGAAGTGTGATGGGAAGGACGACTGTGGGGACGGCTCCGACGAGGCCTCGTGTGACACTGGTGAGGCCTGGCCCTGCCCGCCTCCCTGCGGGGCACAGGGACACACCCACCCCAGCACAGTTGCTGCAGCAGGCCCTCAGGTTGCTTAGTGCAGTCAGAAAGAGCAGCCACAGGAAGGAGCTGCAGCTGGTGGGGTCTGGAGCGGGCAGGGCGTGGCTCGAGGTGGCTTCCCGAGCTGCCCCATGCTGCAGAGTGACTCCTGCCTTCCTCTGCCCTCCTCCCTGAGCAGTGAGCATTGTCACTTGTACCAGCCACACCTTCCGCTGCCAGAACGGGCTGTGCGTGAACAAGGGCAACCCTGAGTGTGACGGGGAGACAGACTGCAGCGACGGCTCAGATGAGAAGAACTGCGGTGAGCGGGCGGGGATTTGTGGTGGGACCTGGAGCAGCTGAGGGGCCAGAGGAGGGCTTTGAACTCTGGAGCAGTGGAGGGGCCTCGAGTGGAAGTCAGGACGCCTGGAGCTTCAGGGTGCTTCTGGAGGGTCCCTCATGCCGCCCCTGTTCCTGCACAGCTGTGTGTGACCCCAGTGCTCCGAGAGTGTGGCTGTGGCTCCTTTGCACCAAGCATCCCACACCTGACTCGCCCCTCCCTGGGTTCTATTCTCCCCCAGACTGTGGGCTGCGGTCCTACAGCAAGCGAGCTCGAGTGGTCGGGGGCACTGACTCGGAGAGTGGCGAGTGGCCCTGGCAGGTCAGCCTGCACGCCCGGGGCCAGGGCCATGTTTGTGGGGCCTCGCTCATCTCCCCTACCTGGCTGGTCTCGGCGGCGCACTGCTTTGTGGATGAAAACAGTTTCAAGTAGGTGTTGGGGTTGCGCTGGGTGGGCTGGCACCTGGGTGGGGCATGGAGGGGCAGTGTGTATTCCAGTAGCAGTCCCAGTAAAAGCTCCCTTTTATGAAGTGCTCAGGGTCTGTGGCCCTCTAGGTCCCCTGCTAACAAGCATGGCAGGTCTGTTCCTATCCGCAGGGTCACAGACCCAGGGAGATGGGGCTTTGCTCAGGGTTGGCACTGCTGAGTGGCATGGCCAGACCTGGGCCCAGGTGTGACAATTCCAGACCTGCTGGTCACTTTACGCTGCGTGTCCCTTGGTGAGGGGGGCGGGTCCTGGCTCTGCTTGTAGAGTGCAGGTGACCTGGGGGAAGTTATTTGGACTCCCAGGTGCTGGGCCCCTCCTTGGCAATGGCATGCTGATCCCTGAATTTGACAGTGACCTGGACCGCCTGCCTTGTCCTGTGCCCTGTGTGTAGAGGCACAGGCCTGGAAAAGGTTTGCGGGCACCCCAGCACCAGGCCAGCAGGCTCCATGAGAGGCAGGGCAGTGGCGGGAACAGGATGTGGGGCTGGGCAGTTGGTGCCTTAGCTCCTGGTCTGCCAGGCTCCCTGCTCCCAGCTGAAGGAACTGCTGCTGGGCAGAGGCAGGCGGGGGTGTCTTTGCTGAGACCCCCAGAATAGCTGCCTTCTTGTTGGCCGCAGGGGCACAGGTGTTGGGTGTGCATGGGGAGGGTGAGGGCGAGGCCGATGGTGTCTGCAGAGCCAGGCTTGTCCCCAGGCTTTGGCCACGCAGTCTCCTCCTGCTGGTCATGCTCAACTCCACCTGGGCAGGAATGATTTTCCTGTCTTTTGGGGGTGATGGTGGGAACTTTCTTAATAATTTTTTAAGATTCACTTTAATTTCAGAATCCAGACAAGTTGCAGAGGTGGTAGAGTGCTCTTGTATACCCTCACCCTCGGTGTTAATGTAGGAAACCGGTGCCTGTCCAAGGCCTTGGCCACTGTGGTTTCCAGGTCTTGAGCCAGCGTCACTGCTGTCCAGGACAGGATGTGGCCAGGGCCGAGCTCTCCAGTGCCCTGTGATCCGGGACTCTTTTTAGTCTTCCTTGGCATTTTTAGTCTTCCTTGGCGGCCCTGAGACCACACTGCTGCCCAGTGTCCTCCCCTGGCTTTGTCAGGTTTTTCTGGACCGAGACTGGGATGTCTGGAAAGATGATGACTTCGTGTGACTCCCAGCAGTGACTGTCATTCTCCTGGGGTTGGGTCGTGCTGGCTTTGTCTCCTTTTTCCGCGCTTGTGCTTAGATACAAGCCAGTTCAGAACTTTTCTGTAAGGTGTTGGCCCTTGGCTTTTTTATCTGTTTAGTCCTTTGCTTCTGTTAGACTTCGTGTTCGAGGTTGGATCCAGCAGCTCAGTGTTCACCTCATTACTCAGATTGCTTTGAGAGTGGCTTCTGTGTCATGTGCTCTGTTCTTTTAAAAAATTTTTTTGAGTCACTTGCTTGTTTTCAGGCACTACCAGGCCCTGACCCCTCTTGTGCCTTCTCTGTGCCAGTCCTAGAATCAGCTGTTTTTCCAAGACACACTTTAGTTTTTAAAGGACAAGGTCTCGATATGCAGTTCAGGCTGGCCCTGGCCTCGTGGCCGTCTTTCTGCCTCAGCCTCCTGAGTACTGGAACTACAGGTGTGTGCCACCGTGCTCAGCTCCCAGCGCAGCAGTATCAGGGGAGTGTTTGGAAACCACGATGTGAGCGCTCAGATGCCCCTTGTCAGTGCATGGGTGCCACTTCCTAGCCCTTGGTGGCCCACCTAGGGGACAGGGAGTCAGGCCCTTGTCCCGCCCCTTCTGCCTCATTATTTCATTTCTCCTCCGTCAATCCTCGTCTTCTTCCAGCCAGCAGTGCAGTTAGAGCTGGCAGAGCCTTTGCCTCACACACCCAAGTCCCCAGTTCCATCCCCAACGCTGCAGGGACCTGAAGTGCGATTAATGTTCGCCACATGTGGCTACTGCCGGTGCCAGAGACACAGATGAATAAAACTTGCTTTCTACACTTTGCAGACTCGCCAGGGTGGGGACAGAATCCGTGACACACATGTGAGTGTGGATACACACACACATACTCACACCCACAGTCAGTGCTGTGCCTACGCTGTGTACCCAGGTCCTCAGTCCCTGGGTGGAGCGTGGGGAATTCTGTCTTCAGGTGGGGAAGGCAGTGCCTGGACACCTTGTAGGCCAGGGAGGTCAGCTGGAGCAGGGGTCTTTACCACCCCAGCTATGCGAGGGGTGACTGACCTGAAGTCAGGACACTGGGGCACATTTCCAAGTCTGGTTTTTGGTAGGTGTGGGCATGGGACTGGGTGGTCTTGGGCAGAAGAGTTGATATCTCTGTGCCCAAGGCCTTGTCACAGAACGGCTGGTCAGCCTGACGGGGCCTCGTGTGTTACCTGTGAGGAGAGTGCACCCTTCTGCCCACCGTCACCAGCTGCCCATACATACCTGGTGGTCACTGTGGGGCTCTCAGTGGCCATATCATCCCACCTGGTCTCTGCTGCTGGTGGCCACGCAGACCTAAAGAGCCAGAGGCTGAGCGTGTTGGCAGCTTTCCACTGCCCTGGCAAGTCCCTGAGATGTTCGTGAAGAAAAGCGGGTGGTTTGGGCTCCTGGTTTTCGAGGCTCCAATCCATGGTCAGGCGAACCTCTACTTTCGGCCACTATGAGTGCCGGGTAGCAGAAGCAGGGACCGTGGGATGGAGCGAGGTGCCCGTGCTCTGTGCCGATGTGTCTTTGCCCAGCCATGACCCTTTCTCCCCTCCTAGGTACTCGGACCCCACCAAGTGGACAGCCTTTCTGGGTCTGCTGGACCAGGGCCAGCTCACGGCCACCGGCGTGCAGGAGCACGAGCTCAAACGCATCATCTCGCACCCCTCCTTCAATGACTTCACCTTTGACTACGACATTGCCCTGCTGGAGCTGAAGAAGCCGGCAGAGTACAGCGCTGTGGTGCAGCCTATCTGCCTGCCGGATGCTACGCATGTCTTCCCGCCCGGCAAGGCCATCTGGGTTACAGGCTGGGGGCACACGGAAGAGGGAGGTGAGTGCCTGGGGGGACGCTGGGGAAGCCGTTCCCTCGCTCCCTGCTGAAGCTTCTGTAGCAGAGGAGAGGAAACAGCAGGGCCTGGCTGCCCGGGCTGACCTGCGGGCACCGGTGCAGTTCAGGCTTCTTCCTGTTTTCTTGTACTTTGTGCTTTTCTGTTTTGGGGGTGCTTGGGACCTCATGCAGTCCAGGTGGAGTGCTCTGTCCCTAGCTGTACCCCAGCTTGCCTAGGGGCAAGGCGGACAGCTCTCCAGCTTTCCAGAGCTGTTATACCCCATGGCTGGCCCGACTCAGGCTCATCAGTCCTGGGTGTGAGCTGTTTCTAGAATTTTGCTGGTGAACCGATGCCCGTGGGGAGCATCTTCAGGTGCCTTCTGCCCCTGCAGCACAGCTCTGGGGGAGCTGCCTGCCTGAGTCCACCCCATCTTGCTCCCTCTGCCCAGGCACTGGGGCCCTGGTCCTGCAGAAAGGTGAGATCCGGGTCATCAACCAGACGACCTGCGAGGCCCTGCTGCCGCAGCAGCTCACCCCGAGGATGATGTGTGTGGGCTTCCTCAGCGGGGGTGTGGACGCCTGCCAGGTGAGGCGGGGTGGCCAGGAGGGGGGGCACCAGGAGGGGGCGGGGCAGGTGCTCATGCTTGGGACTTGTCTCCTCAGGGCGACTCTGGCGGCCCCCTGTCCAGCGTGGAGGCCAATGGGCGGATCTTCCAGGCAGGCGTGGTGAGCTGGGGTGAAGGCTGTGCACAGAAGAACAAGCCAGGCGTGTACACGAGACTCTCTATGTTTCGGACCTGGATCAAGGATCAGACTGGGGTGTAGGGGCGGATCCCTCACATGACTGCGATGTACACCCTGTGGGGCTACAAGACAGGCCAGATGCCATCTGAGGACAGGACCCCGGATCATTCCAGCTTTGGACCCTTCCTCCCCTGAACCCAGACTGCATAGGACTCCTCGTCCATCTGGAGAGCCCCATGCCTCAGCCTCCAGCTGTGGCCCGAGCAGGGAAGGAAGAGCCATAGCCCGTGCTCTGGGCCAAGGGCTCCAAGACTGGCTTCCCAGCTTTGGGCCAGCGCCAGCCGGGCTCGGGCTGTGTTCTGCCATGGTGGCTGCAGGCTCCAGGAAAGCTGCTGGGGCCTCTTTCCATGCAAGGGTTGGGGTGCAGGCTTAGAGCGATGGGGTTCCCCTTCAGGAAACCCCAGCCTGCAGGACTCTGGAAAACAGAGGAGTCTAAAAATCGATGCTTCCCCAGCTCCTAAGGTGGCTTCAGTATGTGCCTTGGTGTGTGTGAGTAAAACATTGTATTTCTTTTTAATTACTCGATTTTCTTCTGAAGTTGGCAAGTTCTCCTTCCTCATAGATCCCATGTGCAAGAAACTTCTTTTTTTCCTCTGATCAGATTTTATTGGTACATTTTAGATATATATTTGGTCACACTTCTCATAGAGAATTTGTACCTGTGCATATACAACTTTTTTGCAAGGAACTAGTCTTAAGTTCTCCTCAGGTGGAGCAGACCGACTCTGCTCAGCACCCTCTGGAGGAAGCCTGAGGTTCCCCTGAGGGAACTAGTCTGTCATCTACGCCTGTGGCTGTCACCGTGCGGTCCTGGGGCAGGAACTTGGAGTCCCCAGCGCACCCACAGGGGCGACTTCCCATGCTGCACCAGGTGCCCCAGTGTGAGCAGCTTCGGGCAGGAGGGCAGCAGTGTACCCGAAGCTCCCCGGAGGCTTCCAGTGTGTGCTGGAGTTTGGGAAGCTCTGACTGTGGTCCTGCTGCTCCTGGACAGTGGTGCCCCTGCGTCCTCCCACAGGCGTCCAGACCAAAGCCTGCAGCAGCGCCTTTCATGCTGCCATCCCCGCCAGGATTCATGGCCTTGCTTGAACCCAGGGAAATCAATAAAGTGCCTTCCAGAAGACTGCAGCCCAGTGCAGAATTACTGCCAACCAGAGTGGGACAGGCCTAGATCCGTAACCAAAGCTCCAACACACCCCCCGAGGCTTGCTGCAGACCGCTCTCCGGAAGCCCGGGTCACTGGCACCAGCAGGGTCACAGTCAACCGCTGGGTGGCACCGGGCTGCTGAGTGCCGCAGTGCACTCTTGGAGTGGTCCACCTCTCCTTGCTGGGGCGTTGTGCAGCGTGGGCCCGTACCCCGCAGGCCTGTCCGTGGCTGACCACCCCAGTGTTGCCTTTTGAGTCTTCACCCTGAATTATTTGAGCTGGTTCCACGTTGCGCAGCTGGCCGTGCTCTGCGGTCCAAGGAGAGTTGTGAGATGTGGACATGGCCAAGAGGCCAGCAGAGGGGCCCGAGAGGCCAGCAGAGCAGTGGTCAGGGAGGGCAGCGTGGTGTCCCGTGGCAGGGAAGTGGATTTTGTCCAGCTTCTCAGCTGCTGCCCTTTGCATGCAGAGGAGGCCCCAGGAGCCTCGGCTCCGTGTCCTGCGAATGTAGTTGGCCCATCAGGTGGGATGGGCTGGACAGTGCAGTGCTGCTCACCCCCACCCAGGGCTTGCTTGGCCTGGAACCTCACTGATGCTCAGGAGCTGGACGGCATTTTCTGGTCCTCTCAAGCCACCGTGTATCTCAGTTTTAGCTGCTAACCGAAGCATGTCATGTTTAATGCATGTGGAACTCAGAGTCCTGCACAGGGGGTCGTAATGGTCAGGCCCACACCTCATGCTGCGAAAACGAAGTGAAACAGAGGTTTAGGAGTGTGGGCCTTGTAGAGGAGCTAAAGCTTGGAGCCCAAGGCTCCCAGGGGCCGCTGAGCCCAGGGCCAGGAGGCTGTCATTCGGTCGTCAGGCCACACGGTGGGGATGTGGAGCTGTTACAGTGGACGGGGGCTCCTGGGCACTGGGTGGGGTGGGGCTGCGGGAGATCCGTCCTGCAGGCGCATGCCTTGGTGCGAGGCCTTTCCTAGCCCTTTACCCCTTTTGGTGCTGTCCCAGCTGTGCAGCCAGGACCTGTGGCCTCGGCAGTGCTGCCTGGAGGTCTGCACGTTCCCGGGCCTGGGAGGTGAGGGGAGCCGAGTGGCCTGGCAGAGGTGGCGTCTGCTGTCAGTGGCAACAAGGGCGAAGCAGTACTACATGAGACGCCCCTGACGGGCACCTCAGACAGATCCGAACACCCAAGTGCGCGCACACGTGTGGGGACATTGCCGGGCGGGGCGGCGTGGGGGTGTTTGTGTGTGTGTGTGTGTGTGGCTGCCGCCTGAACACCCTCTCCCTCCCCAGAGGCATCCAGGGCACCTCAGCTGGAAACTCATGCATGAGGTCCAGGCTTGGCGTCCTGGTGGGAACATGTATGTGCTTGCATGTGCATGCACGGTGCACACTTGAAGTATTTAAGGGAAACTGGATCTTCCTGCCCATGCGTCTCGGGCGTGAATTCTTTGGGCTGTGAAATTACAGATGGATTCCGTGATGGTGAATGGCATCTCCCAAGCCATGCTGTTTTAGATACAGGTCCCCTGATGCCCCGGCTGGCCAGGGATTTAGGATCCTGGATCAGCCTCCCGAGTGGCTGGGATTATTTAATCCTCTGGTCATTACCATTGTACAAATAGCCAGTGTGAACTTCAGGATATTGGGTCTGAGATTTTAATTCTGATGGTCTGACCCAGAGCCACACTTGGGCACTGTGTGAGGGTTTATAGGTGCCTTACAAGGGTTTTGCATTATTCACACCCTTCCCTCTTTTCTCTTTTTTCTTTTCTTTTCTTTCTTGAGACAGGGTCTCTATGCAGTTCAGGCTGGCCTCGGGCTCACTCTGTAGCCCAGGCTGGTCTCAAAATTGCAGCAATCCTCCTGCCTCAGCCTCCCAAGTGCTGGGATTACAGGCATGCACCTGTAATCATCCAGCCTTACCTCCATTTCCTGAAGGACCTGTTACCACATATGCTGAAGGCTGTCATGCTTGTAGCACAGCAAACAGTTATTTAAATGTTTCAATTTGGGGGTGCTCTTTTTTTCTGTATACCAGAAACAACTATGTCCCGGCGTAGATGTGAGTGGACTGGTGTTTGGCGACAGTTCCTTGAAGCACCAGCCCCTTTCTCTAGGGAACCTGATAGCACCTGGAAAGGCCTGCTGCCCCGAGGCCCAGCTTGCAGGTGTGGGCATGCTCTGGGCTGGTCCTGTGCTTGGCTGCCACCTGCTTTGTCATTCTGGGCAGAGGAGGGGGTGGCCATGTGTTTGGTCACTCAGGTCCACCTCTGGGAGGGATTTGCATCAGTTGCCGTGCCTGGAAGGGTGGGGGTCTGGTATGGGAAGGGAGGAGGCTGCTGGTGGGAAGGAGACGGGATAACGGCTGTCACAGGCTGGGCCACCGCGCTGCTCCCTCAGGGTGACAGTGAGGCAGCTGAAGACCCTAAATAGCACAGGGAATGGGGAGGGCCAAACCCAAAGCAGGAACGGGGCTATTTGTGTTTGGGTGTAAGCGCTGGGGTTGTCTAAAGACAGTCCACAACGCCCTTCGGCAAGGCAGCTCTGACAGCCGCGCTCTGGAACACTGCGTGTGTGTGTGTGTGTGTGTGTGTGTGTGTGTGTCCCTGGCTGTGCTCTGATGAGCCTTTCTGAGCTCTTGGCAGAGCAGCAAGGAAGGGCAGCCTGACGGTCATGGCGAGCAGGCCGCGCCTGTGTCCGGCCACCCTCCAGCCCCTGCGCACGGAGCCCAGGCCACCAGGCGGCCCTCGAGGTGCGGTGCGCCCGAGCTGCTGCCGCCCTCCCCTTTCCGAGCGCCTTCCTGCCTGCGGCCCGGCGGCCGCGTTTCTCTGTCCTTTCCTGAAAAGCCGATTCCACGCGTAGGCGGCCGGGGCCGCGGACTCGAGGGAGCGGGAGCCAGCGGGAGGTCTGCATGGATTTTCCTGGGCTGTGAACCCCACTTTCCTGTGCGCACTGCGCCGAGCCTGCACCCTGGCGCTTGCCGCCGTTTCCCTGTCCACACCCTGGAATTGGTAGCGCGGTCTCCCCGCCAGGCCTCCCCGGAGCCTCATTCGGTCCATTTAACCCGGCAGGGAAGATTCGTCCTCGCTGGGCGGCCCTTTCCACCAGGCTCAGGCGCGCGGTGTGTGGGCTGCAGGTGGGGTGCAGCGGCCGGAGCAGCAGGCATATTCCGAGCACGGTTCCAAGGTCCCAGCACTGTGCACAGTTAAGGAAAGAGGTCCAGATGTAATCTAGGGGAAAACAGATCTGTGCTTAAAGATTGTGTCTCCTGAAAGAACAGGTTGTGTAAATCAGGGCAAAGGAGGGAAAAAGGCATTCTTTAATTCACAAAGTTGTCGCTACCTGTGATTAGGGCCCATGGGGCCCTGGATGCGACATTTGGCCTTGCAAAGCTCAGCAGGACCCCAGAAGTGCAGTCAGCCTGGAGGCCAGGGACTGGAGTGCAGGGTGGGGAGAACTGAGCCCAGCGAGGGACGGGGGGGGGGGGGGGGGGGGCGCTCCCCGGGGGGGGGGACTCCCCAAAGTGTGTCCCACCCTGCCTCCCACTGTGCACTGAGTGGGCTTCCTGGATTAGCAGCTGCCTGGATCCTGACCCTCTGAGCCCCTCCCTAATGTCCTGGGGCAGGTGGAGAGGCTGGGCTCACTGTGCCTCCACCTGGCCTGCACCCCTGTGCTGGCCACCGGGGGTGGGAGGGACCCTGGTGTCTCGTCCCCCATCAGGGTGCTGTGGTTCTGTAGGACTTGGGTGTGGTCACTCAGTCGTGTGGGCTCCTCTGTCTTGCCTTTGCTGGTCATGAAGATCCGTCCTTCCCCTCTGGGGAGGACACGGGTCCTGGAAGTGGGGGAGCCAGGCCTTCTCCCCTCCAGGCTCTGCACTGTAAGACCCAGGCCTGTCTTGCCAGGTAATAAATTCACTGGCCGAGGCACATGTGCAAAGGCCAAAAGGAACCTTCACAGTTGGGCTGTGAAATGGTTCCTCCAGCATTCTCCGATCTTTCCTGTTCCATTTCCTTGGCCGGGCAGCAGCCCCTGGGCATTTGCCTTTCTCCCCTCAGCCAGGCCATCTGCTTTCTCTTACTCCTTTGCCTGGGGTGGTGTGGACTGGAGGGGAAATGTTTTGAGGTCTTGGCCGGGGGCAGCAGAACTCCATGTTCCGTCCTCTGATTCAGAGGAGCCAGCCCCTGGCTGTCACCCCCTCCCCAGCCCTGCCCTTTGTTTCTGCTGAGTGTGCCTGGCTTCCAGGAGAGGCGGGAAGCGATGGGTACCCTGGAGCCTCGAGTGGAAAAAGAGGGTCAGCAGCAGCTCGGCTGGGTGTCAGGCGAGCCCAGATGTCCCTGTCTCAGAGACCCACAAATCAAATCTGTTTGGGGACAGAATCATTTCTGCACCTCCTGTGACAAGGACTTTCATGGGCCCTAGAACGTGGAGCAAAAGCAATGGAAAACACAGTTCCGCTTGGTTCTAGTTTGCAGGCTTTGGAAAAACAAACAATGTGTTAACAGCTTCAGCTGTCTTATTGGGTACTTGTGTTGGTTACCTTTTGATTTTAATGTTTTGGAAGTTTAGGGTAAGGGTCAGAAGCGAACATTTTGGCTTTAGTCCTTGCGGTGCTCTTTCCAGACAAGAGCAGTAGGGGGCGCTCACACCCCACATTTCAGTGCGGCCCGTGGGCAGCGCGGTGTGGCTGGCCAGCGGCACTGTGTGGTCCTGGAGGAGGCCGGGGTAGCCCACCTCTCCACTTCCCACTCGGCTTATAATGCGTCCTGGCAAAACTCAGGTGTCAAGGGCCTGGACTCCCATGAGCGGAACATGGCAGAGGCGCCCAGTCCGCAGCTGGCTGCTCGGGCTTCTCTCAGGCGCTGGCTGATTGTTTTCCCACGCGGGGGAATCGCCTGTGGAAGCGCATCTGTGAGGTGACAGTGCCCCAGTCCCTCCAGCCCTTCTTTGCTCGCCCGCTCATCTCAGATTCGGACTGCAGAGGACCGAGACTGGGGATGGTGTTGCTAGGGGCCTGCCGAACATCGGGGCTGTCAGGAGCAGTGCTGCTGTGCGAACAGCTTGCAGTCCCTCAGGGTGGGGATGCCAGGGAGGCAGGGAGTGTGCGGTGCGTAGGGCTCGCTAGTCCCCTGCCCTTTTGTTTAGAGAACGCCTTTGCCCCGCTGGCAGCTGGCATCCTCCTACCATGCATGGTGAGAGTGGGGTGGGTGTCAGAGGCGCAGGGTGCCGAGCTGCTCAGAGATAGGTAGGCGTTTGGCTCGGAAACAGGTAAGCATATTTGATACCCGGGGGTCCTGTCGTCCTATAGGAGTCTTAATTCTGTTCCTTTTTGGCCTCCCAGGTACCAGGTACTTCGCACTACCTTGAAATGGTGGGTCTTTTTCTGTTTTGTCTGGGCGACACCACAAGTAGCTTCTGTGAGGTAATATCTGCCCACGCACAGGTAGCAGAGCTTCCTGTGTGCTGGGAGGTGGGTGCCAGGTGCAGGGCCCAGGGCCCATGGGGCAAGGGCTGTGCGGCTGGTTCCTCCTCCAACTGGGGCTACCGGCACCACCGAATGGCCAGCGCCCCCGGACCTGCTCACCTCTCCACCCCACTCCCCTCACCCCATGAGAGCCCCGGTGATCCAAGGCTGTGAGAGACTTTCGAGTTTCGGGTGAAGCCTGAAGCTGAGGCCTTCGAACCACGGCTGAGACTCTAGATGGAGATTGCTGGCTACAGCCAGGACAGGAGTGAGGGGTGGGCAGCTAAGTGTGGGGCGCAGTTGTGACAGGGCTGATGGGGCTTGTGGCTCTGTGGGCCTCGGCCGCGGAGCGGCCTGGGACCGCACACGTGTGTGCTGTGTCCATTTGCATGCTCGGGGCTCTCAGTGCGGCAGTCTGCAGACCACCTGGAAACCCTTGCCCACTAACTGTTGCCCACCTGGCATGCACATAGTGGGTTGGACCCCTCAAAGGTGTCCCATACATGGGTGCCACGGTCCCCTGCTCTGAAGAGAAGTCATGCACAAGTGTGCCAACACGTGTACCAGCTCCCAGTGATGCTGGCCAAACGCACCTTGCCCGAGTCCCCTCTCTGTCACAGGGTTCTGGGCAGAGACATGTCCCTTTTTGTGCCCAGGTCTCTCCAATGGCATTTTAAGCTTTGGCACGAGCCACGAACCTGGATCTGGTGAATGTGCTCAGCTCACTCAGGGACCTGCAGCTGCTGCTCAGGGTGTCTGGGCTGGTGTGGAGGCGGCTTTCTCTGCATCTGTCGGGGAGACTCGGTCTGGAAACTGCCTTCAACCGGTCTTCCGTTTCACTTCCCAATCTCTCTGGCAGTGCCCTCCTTCGGGTGCAGGGCAGCAGCACCCCCTATGACCTGTCCTCGCCTGGGCCACTCCTGCCTCACTCCCATCCTCCTCGGGCAGGACAGACTTACCTGCACAGCACATGGCCTTCCCTGCTGGCCACTGTCCATTAGCTCCCTGCAGGGAAGCATTAGGGCTGCTCTCCCGCCCCAGCTCCACCAGGCAGGACGTGTTGTTCTATGCCCGAGGCTTGATGGACTCTGTGCATGGAGGAAGGTAATGCAAGCAGCAGGGTGTGGTCACTAGAGGCTCCTTAGGGATAACCGTGGTCCCACCAACCTCATTTAGTAAAAGTTAAGCTCTGCTAAAAAGCTATTCAGTCACCAACCAGCCGAAGGGCTCCATTTGTGCGGCTTACCGTAACTCGGCCCTCTTCTCTTCCTACAGCCGGCCGCAGTGCCCCCTCTCAGGTGCTGGAGGCCGAGGAGGCCCCATGTCTCTGCAGGTCCCAGGCACCCCTCCTCAGCTGGGATACCCAGTGAGCTGCATCGCTGTGTGCTCTTTAACCTGCTTTGGAATTGCTCACCATTCCTGAGCAAGATCTGAGTCCTTCCTGAGCCCAGAAGTGCGTGCCAGTTCCCATGGTCCCCCAGGGGTCCCCTGGGGTGCTCCCGGCCTGGCTAATATCGTCCCCCACCCTGCCCCTCAGAGATGCTGTCATGCTTCTGTCCCTTGAGCACTCTAGTGGGCAGGCCCTCATCCCTCCCAGGATGTGGCTCCTTCAGGCTGAAGAACTTGTGTAGCCTGACAATTACTGTTTTTTAATCCGTAGTCTTCTCTTTTACCCCAGGATTGGTAAGCTCTGTAGGGCCAGAGAGTCCCAGTCAGGGGCTGAGCGAGACAAAGTGGGGGTGTCAAGAGGACTCAGAGATCTGGGGAGCTGTCCTCATGTGACACGACAGGTAATGAGGCCAGGAGGGAGAGGACAGCAGTGTGCCAAGGAGCCCGGCTGCCTGCAGCTGTCCCGAAGGTTCCAGTACGGCTCTCATTAGTCTCTGACCTGCGGGAACTAAGGCCTCTGCTGTGCTTGCTGAGGCGCTCGGGCCCTCGGGCAACTCGTCCAGATGCAGGGGGGCTCCAGGTGGGCCGTTTCAGCCTTCCCGGCCAGGCACCTGCAGGCACCTGCAGGCACCACAGGGACGGAACTCCCGGCCAGGATGTGGCAGTGCTGACCCACTAAACAGTCTCTGAATGCTACAAATTTGAAGCACAGACACAAGGCCCCTCCCTGAATTCAGCGTGTGCAATGCCGGAGTCTTTTTTTTTTTTAATCGGTACCACGGATCGAATACCAGCGTCTTTTAATAAGGCTTCGAGTGGTTGCGATGGACCAGGCACCATGCTGAGGAGCAAGGGGAGGAGGGGGAGGGAGGACTACGCATGGTCCTGAGGAGTGAAGCCCGAGCTCTCCTGAAAGGACAGGCGAGCAGGCTTGGATGGAGTTTTGTGGGAGATCGAGGTGGAGACCGAAGTAGGGCAGTACCCTCATGAGACAGGTGATCCTAGGAGCAACAGGGAGCACAGGTTAGAAACGGCCTGACTCAAACAGGGCCCAACAGGAGGCTCTTGGTATTATCTGGCCAGAAACACCCAAGCTAGAAATAAATTCACAGCAGTAGGAGTGGGAAGATAATGGGAAATGTTAGGAACGGATTGGAAAGGTGTAACCCAGCGAACTGCTAGCCAGTCCCCATCTTTAGGAAAAAAACCACAACAGCTGCCCAGCTGCTGTGGAGGTGCAGGTCTATGGGCCCAGAAGGCTGCAGCAAGCCCCGCCTAGCAAGCTCACTGAGAGTGCAACTCCTTGATCAGACCAGAGCAGACCAGAGCAGACCAGGGATGGGCTTGGTGAGAGGGCTCTGGTTGTTATGTTACTACAATGAGCAAACACCACAAAACAGGGCAGGGGTGGGGGGTGCTGAGTGATGGAGCAGCTGTTTCCACACTTCAAGAAAAAGGTGTGATGACTCCTGGAAGGCAAGAGGCCTGGATGCTGGCATGAGACAGGAAAGCACCCACTGCATAATTCAGTTCACCTCCCCCTCCCTCAAGGGCCCTTTAGGGCAGCACCACCCCAAAATTGCAGGGCCAGAGTTCCTGGCTTCTCCTCCAGACCATTGACATTGACGAGTCAGATGGGCATTTTCCCAGGGACTTCAGCATTTTTAATGGGCGAATTCAAATAAGCCAACCAGGACTTAGAGAACTATAATAGCAGCGAGAACAAAACACCTGTGGTGTGTCCACAGGGTGCTCAAACCTGTTGCTGAGAATTGATTTCTCGATGGGAGATGCCTTACTTTGGTTGGTTTTTCCATCAGTAAAAAAGCTCACATCACGCTTTTATACCGCACGTTATAATTTGGCTTCTACACACAGGTTTTCCTCTTAAACTCTTGGTAAGTTTATGCATCTATGCACTACTTAGAACAAACTTGAAAAGCCCAAATTATTAATCTCAACTCTATTAGTTGTGGAGATACACACCTTTTGGTTATTACTTTTAGAATCACTCTGTGAAAGGAAGCTCTCTGGGACATAATTCATTTGCAAGCTCTAAGGTAAAATTATTTTAAATTCTATTCCACACAACCATCTGTGACTAAATTTAGCTACTGAAGAACCTAACTTGCTGACCTTGAATGATTTGTGAGCCCATTAAAAAAACCTGTCACCCCCACTGACCCAAGGGCTTCTTAAACAGCTACCATCTTCCTCTAGGAACTCAATGAGCTGAAATGTTCCTGCTCACCGGAGGTCAGTAAAAACTTTCTTTGCCTGTCAAGACAAACATTATCAAAACCCACATGAAGATGAGCCTGAGGCTGGAAAGCCCTCCTTCCTTCAGGTTCCCCAAGGCTCCTTACCTGGGTGGAGAGCTGAGCCCTCACCATGGAACTGTTTCCACTGGAGACTAAGTCCTCGCTGAAATGCCATGGTGGGTCTCGGGTCAGTGTGATGTAATTGGAGCACATTTGGACACACGGTGAGGTCACCCAGCAGCTTCCCCTGCTGGTGACTTCCTGGTCCGCCTCCTTGGCAGCGTCCTCCCATCAAGGCCAGGTGTCTGCGGCACCTCTGCACTCCCAGCCGGCTTCCCCCACGGGATCCCCGGAATCCCCGGCGCGAGCGGTCTGATAAACAGCTCCAGTCTGAACATGTCTGATGGGCGCCTAAATAATGGGTTACTCTGATAACTTACCCACTGGACCGCAACCAACACCGCCACCTTTTGCTTTCAGCCAGTAATAAATAACAGTAGCAGGAAGTTTTATTCCATAAAGCATTAATAAGATATTTTAATAAGGAGAAAACAAAACAAAAACAAGTCTCAGTCTCATGTTTCTATTCAGACACTCAAGACTAGTTTTTCCCTGTGCATCTCTTCCAACTGCAAGGACGTGACCACATAATAAAGGTCAGTTTAAAGATTTTTTTTTAAAAAAAGTTTAAACCTTTTTTAAAAAGATTAAACAATCAGGCTAGCAAAAAGGTACTCAATACATACTTTCCTTATATCAAACGAGCTAGTATTTCAATACAGTGTAACTATACAGATTATATACAATGCACAATGTTCGCAAAGCAAGCACTATAGGCTCAGAACAGATTTGAAAAACATGATACTCACATTGATTACAGTAACTCTAAAAATGATTGTAACGGCACTTAGTTTACAAAAAAGTCACAAAAATATATATATGTGTGTGTCACCAAGAACTATGGTTTCCATAAAATACTAATAGCCAGATACCAGTATATAAAATGCAAAGTTCTGACACTGTATACATTTTAAAGAAAACAAAACCCAAAACCAATTTTTGTCACTGTCAAAAGTCAAACATGCCAAGTAACTTAGCTATGGCCACTGTCACCAAGTAAAACCAGGCTTGAGTGAGGTGATGATGGGGAACAAAGCTGGTGGGCTGGGACTGGCACGGCTGTACAGGCTGGAGGAGGGGCAGAGGACATAAGAACACCCACCGATGCCACTCAGTTCCCGTCTCCCCCTAGCACGCCTTCCCTTGAGGGGTTGCTAAGATGCCAGCGCCCAGAAGAATTCATAATGCTGTAGCCGGCAGGGCAGAAAGTGGCCTCCACGTCCTCGGTGCTGGACTACAGGCGAACCCTGCAGCACGCCTGGGCCACAGGGCGGTCAGCCCCGCCAAGGCTGCTGGCACCAGAATGGACTCAGGTTTTGAACAGGGCCAGGTTTCCACCAGCCCTGTACAACACTGAGCTGCTTACAGGAAATTACGGAAACGCGATTTGATTGAAGAATTCATGTCTGTTACATCAAAACAATTTTTGCCTTTCAAATCTATCTTCCTTAGCTGATACTAATTTCTTCTGTCACTTAATTCTGATCTGTTATCTTAATCTGACTTCCTTATTATATGCAGTTCTGGAAAAGAATACTTCCTAATGCTCGAAAAGTTTAAATTTACTCTTAAAAATGGGTCACAGAATTATAAAGTAAAAAAAAAAGTCTGTTCTAAAACTATCTTTCACAAATATATATATTTAAATATTAAAATAGGCTACCTAGGATTTTTATAAAATGGCTTTTGAAAAGATAGCAGAAGCACAAAGAAGCCAAATGCTATCCTCCAGGGTGGACATAAGGTGCTGTGGGTGCCTCCTATCTGACACGACAGGAGTCACGAATGACAGAAAGATTAAGTCTGTTATTTGAAATTTGGATGAAAACAAAATGTTACTGTATCAGGGGTTGCTGTTTTTGAAAAATACCTTGAAATATAAGCATCAGAAGCCATCATTTTGTACCAGGAAGATAATGAAAAACATGTATGACATTACTCCTTCCAAATACCTGACCTCACTCATTTCAGGAATCTGAAAGATGAAACAGTGCAACTTTCCAAAGCTTAATGGACTACTCTCAGTGTGAGAGACCTTACACAGCACCTGCCAATTTGAAAACTGACACCAAAGTAAAAAGCAATCTCCTAGAGAAAACACATGCATCACCTAGTCCTAGAAAAGGTTCTCTCTGGAAAGCAGGTGTTTCCAGCATCTGCACAAAGGCTCCCCACTCCTGCTCACGCAGCCTCTGAGCACACCAGAAGGCGGCATCCCCCAGAGCAGGGAGGGTGTCCTCCTCCGCAGGCTTTGGTACACCCAACACTGGTGTGCAGAATGCCTTCCCAACGTCATCAAATGAACTCTGGTGGGCAGACTGACATTTGAGAGAACAGTTTAATCAGTAAGAACACTGCAGATCCTCAGTGAAGCAGGGATTTTATCAGTAAATCATGACGAGCGCTCAGGACTTCAGCAAAATTTGTCACATTGAGAGAGTAAATAAATACACAGGTTTTATAAACCAGCCGCTTCGAACTAAAAACATTTTAAGGTTAAAAAAAATTTTTTATATTGAAGTTTTTGTTTCCAGCCCATGGTCTGAACTAAGTTCTTTGTCAACAAGTATGTACACAGGAACCTTGTTTACCACTGGCTGGTGCTGGCCTGGGTCCTGGGCAGAGGAGATGCACCTGAAGCATTCTGAACACTTAGGGCCATCCTGTTTCTACACACTGCATGGCCAAACAGTGTTTGGAATTTCGGAGAGGACTGTTTTAAAAAGTACCGAACTATTTTTCTCTATTATGAAAATATAACTGTGACTTTTGATGGCAGCTAGTACTGTATTGTCACAGGGTTTCATTTCCCTTAAGTACAGTGACACAAATCTCAACACCTGTAATCTGAAGTCAAGCAGCGGCACCCCACAGTTTAATGTGAGGACTGGCTCAATTCCACCTTTTGGTGTTAATTTGGATCACTGTTTGGGCTACGCTGTCTTGCTGGCGACTCTACACCATCACATCCTGCTAGCCAAGAGACAGTTAAGGGAAGGAGTAACTCACATCCTGATGGTCTCAGCTTAAAGCCTGTGACAGGGTGCTAGCCCCGAGCTGTTCCTCATGCACGTGTTTACAGCAGTATCACACCTGCGCCCCCACATCAGTTCCACTGTTTCAGAAAATAAAGTCCAGTTTCTATATATTCTCAGTAACTTTCAAAATTTAAATACATTATTAAACATCTTATATCAGTAACTTATAGCAAAAACCATATTAATTTACTTTCAGCAACTTTGGGCTTGTTCCTTCCAAAAGTGAAACTATTTCTTTTTCCCAGATAATCTTAGTAACTGGCAAATTATTCTCTTTCATTTGGATACTCATTTCAGAGGGCTATTTGGTAGATGAGGCAGTAGCTACTATATCAAAAAGTTTTAAATTCTCCTGTTCATCAACAATACAAATCATGGGTTATTTTCAATGAAAATATTGAAATTGCTTTTGTTTTCTGAGACAGTCTTGCTCTGTAGGCTAGGCTGGGCCTTGAACCTAGAGCGACCCTTCTGCTTCCCAGCCTTCCGATTATAGGTGTGTGCCCAAAATACCACCATTTTAGGGTGGTTCATTTATCAGGCAGTAATTTTCTCTATCTGACATACTAGTGCAGAATTATCATTATGTAGTAATGTATTTTTCAGGGACTACAAAGCTAGAAGAGTCTGAAACATGATCTGATTATCTTCTAATTAAAGCCACTAAGGAGCAGGGACTTAGCGCAGCGACACAGTGCTTGCCGAGTACACGAGGCCCTGGGTTTGATCCCCCATACTAAGAGCTGAATAGAACCAAACAACACATTAGGCCCCATTCAAATTAAGAGAATAAAATAGGAGAAAACAACGAAAGAGAGAGATTTAACACTACTTCCAAAGGCTCCTAGGGAAGCGTTACAGACTGGGGAGATCCAGCTCAGCAATCACAGGGTAAGTAACAGGGTAACCAATGACTGGATCTATCAGACGGTTGACATACTCATCCCACTTCATAAAACATTTTAACTGAATGAGTTTTTTGTTGGTTTGTTTCCAAACCAAAGGGCACACATTCTAACATGGAAACCAGCTGCCATAAAGCAGAATGGTTGCTTAGGTTTTAAAATATAAGACAATGAAACCTTTTAGTATTACTTTGTTTTACTGAAATTGTAACTTAAAAACAAAAACCTGGCAATGTAAACAAAAGTGTACTTATCTGAATCAAAACCCAGTATTACTGTTCTGGAATAAGCAGAATTGCTGAGGTGCCAACTTGCTTCCACCGTGAGAATGATTGTGAGGACTGGAGTGGCTGGAGGAGCCGTGACATCCACCATCATGGGGACATCTCTGCTGATTTCTAAGGTGTCTATATTTGGTAGTTAAAAAATTAAAATAATTTTTCTAATATAAAAGGCTTAGTCTTAAAAAGGTAATTTTTCTTGCATTCTAAAGTTTAAGCCCTTTAAATATCACAAAGGAGTATCCTCATAGGCCCTAAGGTAGCCAGCTAGGCTTAAATATTCTAAACTAGCTTGCATCTTTGCAATACTTCCCATATGTTCCAGTAAAAATTATATATCTAGGCACCCTTCTCTTAAATGAACTTTATTTTTTATGTTTTTAAATTTTTGGTTCTGGGGATCGAACTCACGACTGCGCACTTGGAAGGCAGGCGCTTATGCAGCTGAGCTAAATCCCCAGCCCTTAAATGAACTTTAAATAAATCTAAAACCTACTATGTACACAATTACCCTCTGGCAGTTTTGTTTTCTTAAACAGATCTATAAACAAAACATCCTCAATCAGGGGTCACAAAAACGCAGAGCCTCCCTGCAAAGGAAAAGGCCTCTCTCATTTCATGTTAAATACCGAACACTTACTGATAGATTTGGAGAATAACTAACTAGATATATGCATCGTCACAGTATATTCAAATTTCCTATAAAACCTGGAAACCTGTATAGTTTGTAATTACCAATGAGAATCTAGAGTTCCACCTGGGAAAGAATACCCAGTGATAACTTCTTTACTGTGAGAATATAGCCCGAATTCCTTAGAGCTGCTGGCTGCCAAGGGCTCTCGCACTGTGGAGTTCTCAGGAGAGGGAAATGCTATACTTTCCACTGGGAAGTCAATCAATGACTTACACATTTTTAAAAATTTTATCTATTTTTTTAGTAAACTTGAAATGAAGAGCAATGGTGATTCCCACCATCTTATCATCGGGTTTTAAGATTAATTTCTAGCTCCAGTTAGGATACAGCAGTCTGCTGCACAGAGTAACTTAATCCTACACTGAAGAATTGGACATTGTAAAAACCCAGAACTTGTAAGTGTTGATCTTCCCAAAGGTAATATACTTATGTTTGGGGGCAAGCGGATTTAAAAAGAAAAGTCTGTAAGAGAATCAGACCTACAAATGAGGGCTAAGGGTGAAGTCCAGTGGCCAAGTGCAAGACCCTGGTTCAGCCCCCAGTACTCACCCCCGAGCTGGAATTAAGAACAGCAGACCGAAAGTATCAACATAAAAACATTCTAGGGAGCTGACCTTTTCTTCCTTTACCTTTATGGGGGGTGGGGGGCGTGGGAATTTCACAAAAAGAAACAAATCACTATAATTAAGAAATAATTTAGTAAGGCCTGACATCTGAATAAACTTCAGATCTCTGTATGACTATCTTGTTTTTCTTTTCTAATCAATTTCATAATTATTCTAATCTACTTCATAATTTTCTAGTAAGTTTCATAATTATCTGACTTTGGGTCTTTTATATACAGAAAAAAAGATCCTGAAAGTTCATTATTCATGGAGTCCTAAGTATTTCTGACCAACGTCAAAGATGCTTTGACACCAGATGAAAAGTACATCCCAGTCTTCTTTTTTTGGTGTTTTGAGAGAGGGTCTTGCTCTGTAATTCAGCCTGCCTCAGCCTCCGGAGTGCTGGGATTATAGGCATGTGCCACCACACCTGGTTATCCCACTTTTGAGCATCATAGAAACTTCATCTTTGAAGGCAGCAGAAAAGGTGACATTCATTACCTCAAGGTTTTTAGGATTTTTTAAAAAAAAGTCTAAACAATTTTCTCTCCTCTTTTAGACAGAGTCACACATGATCGTTTTATAGCCTCATTTTTCATATTATTGCTTACACTGAGTAAAAACTATAGTAATTTCTCTAATAAATTTGGCAATGTCTAAAATTATTTTGGAACAGGGTAATATCACCATCATAAGGGATTTTGTAAACAATCTTAGTTAAGAACTTAACCTCAACACAGAATTATTTATTTTGTCCAAAACAGCACAGTAAAAACATCTCCAACAATACATACCTATGTATAAAATATAGATTATCTCTAATATTTTTACTTTATTATGGTAGCACACTGGTATATGCAAGAGAAAAGTACTGTTGATGGGCCAAAGTGATTTGGCAATGACCTAGTTACTAGACATTAAACTACAAAGACCTGGTAAATGTCAGTTTTAGTCAGAAGCAGATTGGAAGAGTTTCTATGAAGCTGAGATTTGTGTTTTATTCTGCATTCCTGGTCATTTCTTCCACAGCCTGACTGCTCAGTCATGGTTCTTTGCATTTGGGATGGTATTAATAGGTAGGGGGATGCCTACCCAATACCAAATATTCATCGAAAAAAATCATAATAAAAAGACAAAGCTTAAAAAAGTACGCTGGGTTCAGCAGTACTGAGTAATTTTTAAGAATGCTTCCCCATGAACACTTTCAGAAACAGGCTTTCCAACACCCCAGGCAAACGAGGACACGTTACCCAAGCCGTCAGTCAAACTCTGCTTAGCAACCTGTTTCTCATGGACCCTCTACCTCAGGTAACCAAGGCAACGCTCCTCTGGTTTCGTTTCACCTCATCTGTTGCTAGCCTACCCTTAATGAAAGGAAAAATCTGGCACACGTCTGAAGTTAACCGGTTCCTCTGAGTCTCAACATCATGTCACTGTGTCCTTATAGATGCCATCTCTCAGTTAAGAAAAACAAAACACCAGTTGCAGGCTTACAAAGTGAAAAGGGAGATTCTTTCCCAAACCCCCCTTTTTTTTGCTTAAAAAATTAAATTAAATTAAAATGTACAAGACCAAGCACAGGCACTTTCCAAAAAATGAAGCCAACCACAAACTACTCGATAGTTATAGAGGACAGCTCTGACTGCGGGTGCTCGTCCCCGGGGGCGTCCGCGTGCGCGCTGGGCTTCAGCTGCGCTGGGGTCTCTTCATCCTTTTCTGCCAGCCCAGCCAGAGGTCCCAGAGGGAAAGTGCTTTCACAATTCTGGGTAGAGGAGACCTGTGAAATTACAGGCATTTGAACAGAGGAGTTGCTTTCAAAACCATGTTCTCCAAGATCGTACTGAACAAGGGTCTCTTCTTGGTCTTGGTTTAAGTAGTCCGGTACTAGGAAATCACTAGGTAAGAGGCAAAGGGTGAAACATGAGTTAACCTGAAACTGGTAACAGAATACAATAAAAAGAAGTCATCTGTATATCAAGATTGGGACTTTTTATTTCATGAATTCTCCAATGAAGTTAGGAGTCAGAACTTTCAACTTACAAACTTTCCTGAACATGAACCAAAGCCATCCATTAGAACAGAAGGGCGTCAGCTCCTGAGGGACTCTAAGAGGCCTCAACAGCCTTTCTTGGTCTATTTTTATAAAGCTGCTCACTTACACAAAGATTATCTGAATAATTAAATGCTTAATTTTTCTGGGATTACACACTAAGGCATACAGTATAATGCATACTTATTTTATTAGCTTGATATAGTTACATTACACAGGACTCTTTTTTTTGGGGGGGGGGGTACTGGGGATCAAACTCATGACCTCGAACTTGCCAGGCAGACGCTTAGGCCACCGAGCTAAATGCCTAGCCCCGATTTAGTTAAATTAAGCCCTTATGCATTAATGACTTACATACGCTCCAGTCTGTACAGGTGAGGAGTGTAGAAACAATCTGTGTGTTATCTTGCTATTAGATCTGGATATGATAATAAATTACGCTTGAGTCAGAATTTGGAAATGAGTATCTTGGACTATTTATATCTGTCCTGAAAAAAGTACTGAATTACTGATTTCCACAGTAAATGAGAAAAGTAAAATACACTGAAAACTGGTTAGTATACTGGCTAGAACCAGTATACTAATACGTTATAGGGCCATTTTATAATTGAATTTTTCAGTCTTCATAGGAAAATTAAAACCTGTTCATCTGCAGAACAGTTTCAAATGTTCTATATAGAAATCTAAAAAGCCTTCAGGGGTTAGATAAAACAAAGAAGGGTAAGGACTCTGCACAAGAAAGACCCAGATACAAGAGTCGTTAACTGGAACTTATTTTAGCTCTAAACAACTACGTTGAATGTAACATGTATAATTTGGTTTGTGACAATCATCTGTGCAGAATTCGAAACAAATCAAATGAACATATAGTTTGAGGGGAAAAACAAAGTCTATGTAGGAGTAATTTGGAATTTATTGAAAAATAGTTTTAAAAGTAAAGGTAATTTAAAATGTAAAGATTTTATGAGAAAGATTTCTTACAGAGGTACACTTCTCATATAAAGTATTTAAAAATACAATGGAATTTTCTATCTAGAGGAGGCCTCAGAAACTATCTTACTCAGAATGTGGTCACTATATATATCTAAAATATATCAGTAAAATCTGATTGGGAAAATTAAAGGAAAAAAAGAAACTATGTTGTTCAAAGCTTACATTTTGTTTTGCTAAATTTCAAACTGCTTCATATGTAAAGTAACAAGTGTGATCAAATAGCAGAGCCAGAACTAGAACCCTTTCCTTGGGTATCCTGAATCACAAAAGCAACTGCACTATAAATAATTACCATGAAGACTTGGAGCTCTAAACTGTATGAAAGTAGGAAGGATTCACTGGGTCTAAACTATTACATCCATATATGCCTTATAACTGCTGTAAAAAGTTCCTTTCTTATTGGCAAATGGATATTCCTTTACATAGGATGGTGGGGAAGAGGGGAAGAGGAGAGAGGAACAGAGACAGAGAGACAGAGACAGAGACAGAGATTGATTAAATATTTTACCAACATCCAGAGTGTGAAGTAACCTGACATTATTATCTATCACCCAACATGGTGTATTTTCTAAAAAGTTCTACTTAAGGCTTACTACAATCACTTGAACTTCATACTATTTTTTAAAAAATCAAGGGTAAGCAAACTACTTCTGTAGGAATATATGTATATATCTGTATATACACATACACATTTAAAATTTTCATTTTGTAGGAAAATACTTTGAACACCAACTATGAAGTATTTTAAATTTTATATACTTAGGAGATCCAGAAAATTTCAATTAGATCAAGAGATCATAGAATGGATACTAGGAATTTAAAAAGAAGGCACTGATCGGCTGGCAACCTGGTGGAACAGCAGAGCAGGCTGCCCTGCAAGCGGGAAAAGAGAGTTCAGCAAGCAGTTCTCCTGGCCGGGTTTTTGCTGTGCACCTCACCTGCTCTGGAAGTAGTTTGCTAGCTCTGATGCTTCATGGTTCAGACTCCTCAGGTGCACGATTAAATTTCCAGAGTTGGTGAACATGGCGCCACATGTTTTGCACTCGTAAATCCGAGGCTTGCGGATAATGTGCCGGGAAACCCTCATGTGGTGTTTATATTCCCCGAAGGAAGTGAAAGTGGCACTACATATCTGGCACCGGAAACAGCGTTTACCTTCATGCTTTAGGCGATGCATCTTTAGCGAATAAGCCCTGGTGAACTTTTTCCCGCAGCGGTCACACTGAAATGGTTTAATTCCTATAAAATAAAGCAAAAGAAAATCACATAAAAACAGAAAACTAAAAAGCCATATACCTCAAAAATTTCTGAACTATAATTTTGTTGCAATAACTTAAACTATTCTATTTTGATACATCAGAGAAGGCAGATAATATGTAAAACTCACCAGGACTGAAAAAGTTAGGGGAGGGTGGAGAGGAGACACATTAGGTAACAGGAGGAGACTGACTTCTGAACATTCTAAATTATGTTTCACAGACTTCACAACACATTTTAACTGTATTTACACGGAACCAAAATTCTCATAAGAACAGCACTTACTGTTTCATTTCACGTTTCTTAACTGAGGAAAAAATGAGAAGAAAAAAGGGAAAATTCTACCATCTCCATGTGTAATGATCATGAAGATGTCATCACTTGATGAACTGGCTCTTTCAGTATTTAGTAGTGATGGAAATTAATAAATAATTATAAAGTACATTAACAGTTTCCTTAAAACATCATAGTTCAGGGAAAATAAATTAAACCACCTGTAAGACACAGCTGTAGAGGTTGGGTGTGGTGGTGCACGCCTGTAATCCTAGCACTTGGGAGGCTGAGGCAGGAGGATTGCTGTGAGTTTGAGCCCAGCCTGGGCTACAAAGTAAGTTCAAGGCCAGCCTGAACTGTAGTGAAACTCTGTCCCAAAAAGACAAAACAAAAACAAGATACCCCCACCATAATCTGTACACTTAACATCCCAGAAAATTGGTGCTAAGACAGGTACTATGAGACCTACCTGGGAAGGGGAAGAATGAACACAAGAGCAGTCACCTTTATGTGACCACTCAACTTAAGTCTCACTAATGTCTCTTCTACACATTCACCCAAAATTTCTCTAACACTAGAAATAAAAAAATCCAACTGACTAATCAAAGCACAGAGAAAGTTAGGACTACAGAATGTAATAGTAAAATATTCAATCTTTTAAAGCACTTTTCATCCGGAAATAATTTCAAACTGACTGAAAAGTTGAAAGCCTGATGTAAAACTCCCATTTTCTTCTTCCAATCTCACCCCCGGCACCATCTGTGTCTCGGTCTCGTGTACACACCCACACTCCCGGGACACTCTGTACGCTTAGCTTACGTACTACACCCCGCGTACTGTCAGTGTTAACCAGAATACGGCCCTCAGTACCTCTGGTCAGGGCACTAGGCACCGCTGTCTGATACTGCCCCACTTCAGCAACAGACCAAAGCTAATCTGCCCTCGTCTGACTTCCCAGTTCCCCCGTTTCTGAAGGGAAGCGAGCCAGGCCGCTCCCGGGCCGCGGGAGGACGCCGTTACCTGAGTGGATGAGCATGTGCTGCTTCAGGTTCTGGATGCGGGTGAAGCGCACCCCGCAGGTGGGGCACTGAAAGGGCCTGTCCGGGCCGTTTGGGCTCGGCCGCTCCGTGCTGCTAGTGGAAGGAGCAATGTAGAGTTGGTAGGGGTACTGAACATTTTCCAGTCTAAAAAACAAACCAGAAAAGGCAACCAGGCTCTGATTTTAAAGCTGAATAAACATTTCTGCAGGTCAGCTTTAACTGAAGAAAAGAAAGAACACTTCACGATTTTTAAAAACAGTTTATGCATTAGATTATGAGTTTCACTTACAGCAATTATAAAAAGCAACAATGGAAACACAACCACACACACGAGTTTATCTCAGACAGTCTAGATCTCTCTAGTCCCTTCCTTCTCGCTACTGTCTTAATTTAGGCCTGAATCAGTATTCTCCTACATGGGAAATTCTTCCTCCCAGCACCGTAGTTTACCTTTTATGGTTGAACCGGGCCTCCCTCATTAAAGTCTTGGAAGCATTATCCTTCTGAATGAAATCCTGACCCTCTAAAAGTCATGCGAGACTCCTGGGACCAGAACATCCCCTGAGCAGCCTCATTTCCTGCGATATGCCCCACTGCATGCCCTGCATCAAATAATTCCTCCAATGAACCCAAATCTCGCTCAACACCACACTTTTGCACACTTAATTTTCTCTACTAGCCTGCTTTCTTTGCTGTGTAATTTCTACTCACTTTAGAAAACGTAGCTAAGCCAGGCACAGTGGTGCTTGCCTGTAACTCCTGCACTCGGCAGGCTGAGGCAAGAAGGATTGCGGCAGGTTCCAGGCCGCCTGGCTAACAACAGCGTTTAAAGCTAGCTTTGCATTTATTTCTGCCTTTTAGGTCTTCCTGCCAGTATTGTCTCAAGGGACAAAATGTAGCTGAGTTGTCACATCCCTCTTCTGGCAGCCTTCTCTGATTTGCTAGTGGCATAGGTAGGTGTTCCCCGATGTACAGTGACCAAATTCTGGGATTGTTCACAGTGACTTGCTTACTGCCTCTGTCTTCAACCTCTCTGCTCCTAACCTGATCAAGTTCCTTGAGGGAAAGGATTTTACCTGTGTACCTCCACCATTCACACAGTATATAAGAAAGGGTGGATGATCTAACTGGTATTTGAACATTTCTGTTTGTTTATGGTTTTACTAATAATAAATTCAAGTCATTCTGGACCACAATCTGCTTAAACAGGCTTAGCTATTCAAGAATAACTAAAAGTGACACTTGAAAGTGTCCTACAGTCTGTATGAGTGCTTCCCATGAAGCCAGTGTTCAGTGATCAGAGAAGACAAAGCAGGACATGAACCGTCACTGAGCACTGGTGTGGGTCTCCTTGAGAACTGAGACCAGCATAGTGATCTGGAGGTTACAGGGAAGCCAGTGATGGGAATGACAGTCTGGGGAGAGGGCACAGCAGGGAAAGGCCCTGCAGCCCTGGCAGGAAGGCCTACAAGGCAGGAATACGCACAAACATTTCAAGAACTAAAAGAGGGTCAATGTGGCTAAAATGTAGTATGCAAGGGGAAGAATAATGGCCTGATGGGAGCTAGGCAAAAGTCCTACCGTGTTCTGTCACAGCAGAGTCTAGTTTTTAAGCATGAATAGACAGTGTTAAGTGTCATTAGCTTAAAACAGTGAAAACCTGACTTAACGCTAGGGACATAGCTCAGCAGCACAGCACCTGCCTGGCAAGCACAAAGTCCTGAGTTCAATTCTTGGTACAAAAAAAAGAAAAGAGAAATGATGCTCTATTATATGAAGAACAGACTTGAGTAATGGAAGGATAAAATCAAGGGCTGACTGACGGTTACTGAAGCAGTCAAGGAAAAGGATGGTGCTGACCAACTAGGATGGTCAGAGCACAGGCAGAGGCGAGGGAGACAGGCCGGCGGATGCGGACACAGTATTCTAGAGGGAGACTTCATAAGGCCGTTGCAGGATTAAATTCAGGGAAAGAAAAAGGCAGGAGTGGTGACAGAGAGGTGGACTACATCATGAATAAATCTCAGACACTGTACTAAAAAACCAGAAGACAAAACAGGAAAAGATGGGAACAGGCCGCAGACGGGAAATTAGAACTCTGTCGGCCTTAAGCGTAAAAAGGCCTCTTATTCATCTTCTTTTTTTTTGTCTTTTTCATTTTATTGGTACCAGGGATCGAACTCACGACTGCCTGCTTGCAAGGCAGGCGCTTATGCCACTGAACTAAATCCCCAGCCCCTTCTTATTCATCTTTGTGTAAATGGGAAGCACTGAGTGAAGATAATGACTTGGGAGTCACGGCTATCAGGACCTGGTGGTATTTTCTGTCTGTGTCTTTGAGACAGGGTTCTGCTATGTAGTTCAGGTTGGCCTTGGACTTGTACTGATTCTTGCCTCGGCCTTCTAGGTGCTGGAATTACAGTCATTACGCCTAGTAAAACAACATTTTATATGTGATGGGGGGAGTCTTTCTGAGATAGGATTTTACCATGCAGTTCAGGATGGCCTTGAACAGCGATCTGCTCGACTCAGCCTCCCAAATGCAGGGATTACAAGCATATGCCACCATGCCTGGCCAAGACAGCTTTTTTTGGTAGTTGGCCACATCATATTTTGTATACCAGATGCTGTTTCAAGGACTGAAGTCTGCCACTCACAAATATGTAGTAAGTAAATGTGGCTGGGTTCTAATAATAGTTTACTGACAAATCAAACTGGAGGGCTGGAATTGATCTACGGTCCATAGTTCACCAACTGATTACAACATATTAAAGCAATGGGATGAGGAGTTTTGGAAATGCCCTCCAAAATCTGGTGTGGGTGGTCTAATGTGATGATGCTACTTCATTTTAACTTTTACTTTTTAAGAGACAGGCTCTCACTACTTAGTGCAGGCTAGCTTTGAACTCACTGTGTAGCCCAGGCTGGCCTCAAACTCACAGGGATCTTCCTGCCGTAGCTTCCTGAGTGCTTGATTATAGGAGTGCACCACAGTGTGTGACATGCCACTCCATTACTCTGGAAAGTGTACTGCAGTATAGTGACCTCAGTTCTAAGATAACTTAAGGAGTTGTGAGCGCAGCCTTGAAAAGATGGTGACACACGGCATCAGTACTAACCGGTCATCGTCATCTGCGTGAGCGTTGGTGCTGGACGTACTCTGCAGGGTGGGCAGCCCCTCGGTAACACCTTCGTCTACTGAGCCTGTGGAAGGAAGGAAGAGGCGATGATCAGGGCTTCGTGCAGATAAGCCAGACTCTAATGCCACCTCTTACCTCTGTTCACATTCTGAGTTGTCACAAATAGTCATGTCTCACACGTCCTTTGCAGTTAAATGTTTATAGATTTGAAAAGAAACTGTATGTCAAGCTTTATATTACGATTTAAATTCTTTTAGAAATATTTGATGCAGATTTTGGAAAATTCAAATGTAAACTAAAATCCATTCTTTTTTTTTTTTTTTTTTTTTTGGTCCTTGTCGTTTTTATCGGTACCAGGGATCGAACTCACGACTGCCTGCTTGGAAAGCAGGTGCTTATGCCGCTGAGCTAAATCCCCAGCCCCAAAATCCACATTCTTAAAACTTGTTTTCCTGGAATATGCATCAGGAAAACAATTGCACCACTTTTACAGAAAACATAAAAAAGACAAAGTGAACACCACTTCAGCAAATTTGATACGAGCCAAGCTGAATCCAGAAGTACCCGCTGCCCTCTCCCTGCCCACAAACCTGTCTTCTTCCCAGAGCCTGCCAAGGTTATCAACCTCTCCCTTCATTTGCTGCAGGCGCTATTTCATCTTGGATACCTGCACCCAAAGCTAGAGGTCAGCGCTGCTGGACCACAGCTCTGAGTGTGTAGGACAGCCTTCCCGCTATGTAAGCAGCAGAGAACAGTCTAGGTTTCAACAGAGTGTAAATGATTAACTATCTGGCCTTTCAGGGAAAGTCTCCCAACCTTACTAAGCAAGCTCAGAGCTGTATGGCTGTGAAATAGAATCACACTGCACATGTTTTTGTGACTTGCCTCTGTCCTTCAACACTATGAACTCATTCAGGTTTTATATGAAACTGAACCTTATTTTAATTGTAGAATATTAGTAACGTGTTCATTTCACTCCTGATGGACAGTTTCAGGCTCTTATAAATGATGCTGCCATGAATAGTCTTATACAAGTAACTCAATGTACATGCATGTGCTTTTCTCCACATTATTTAGGAACAGAACTGCTAGGTCACAGATTACATGTTGTTGTCTTCACCTTTGTTAGAAAATTCTAGATTGTTCCGGTGACTGTACCAGATGTGCATCACTGCCAGGACTATGCATGTGTCGTGTCGCTCTACACATGCACCAACACTGGGCACGGGGGACTGGGGATTTAGCTCAGGAGCATAAGCACCTGCCTTGTAAGCAGGCGGTCATGAGTTTGATCCCCCATACTAATTAAAAAAAAAAACAAAACACTGGGCATGGCATTTGGTCAACACACACTGCATATTTCACTGTCTTTGAGGTTTTCTTCTTTCCCGAATTGGGAAATCATAATCACTAAGCCACATCACCAGCTCTATTTTTTGAGAAAGTGTCTTACCACATTGTCAGACAAGGTTTGCACTTAGGATCCTCCTGCCTCAGCCTCCTGGATGCTGGGATTGCAGGTGTGCACCACTATGCGTGGTAGTGCCTAAGCTTTATTTCATGTATTTTTTGAACCTCTTCTGTGAAATGCCTGGTCAGGTCTTGTCACTGAGCTGCTCACCCTCACATTCTGAGTTCTTTCCATATTCAGATACAGGTCCATTGTCAGTAACATGCCATAAATATCTTCCTTTGATGACTGGTGCTATTACCACTTCTTTTGATGGCCAAAGTTTTAAATTTAATCGTTTTCATTTATGGTTATTGTTTTGGCCTTGCTTTAAAACAGTGTTTTTCTATTTCAAACTTAGGTTTTGTTTCTGAGGTTTCAGTCTTTAATTCACCTGGAATTCATGATGTGACCAAACACATTCACTGGTTCCTTTTCCTTTCTGCTGCAATGTCACCTGACATGTACCAAGTCTACAGCAGTGCGTGGGGCTGCTTCCAGGTTCTCCTCCTCCTCCTCGAGTGACGGAGTGCCAATCCTCGGTCACTGCAGCTTTCTAGCCAATCTCCATCCTACAGAGAGCCCGTCCTCACATTCTGTCTGTGTGACCCCAGCACTCTGGTTCCCCTCGGCCCTCTGCATTTCTACACACATTTCAGAAACAGTCTGTGGAACACAAGTTTTTTTGGTCTTTTTCCTTTTTATCGGTACTAGGGATCGAACTCAGGACTGCCTGCTTGCAAGGCAGGTGCTTATGCCGCTGAGCTAAATCCCCAGCCCCGGAACACAAGTCTTAATAATTATTTTATTTCATCCTTTTATTGTTCAGAAATTAAACAATGTTTTCCTACTCTTTTTACTGGCTATGTTAGACACAGTCTTAACTTATTAAGATCTAAAGACAATACAGACCTTTACCTTTTCCCAGATAACATAGGGATCTTGGCAGCTTTAACTGCATTCTCTTATTTCCATCCCACAACTTAAAACTTATTTTCTGTCCGACACTTTTCTTCGTTCTGACCAGGTCCTATGAGAAGTCTCGCTTTTATTCAGGCAATATTTGTTTTTTCACAAGCTTGTCCTTCCTCTGTTCATTTGTTCCTGTATAGAAGACACCTCCACCTGTGCTTTTACTTCCGCCTGAAGCCCAATCTTAAGAATTTTCTGTAGAAATGAGTTGCTGAGGAATTTTTGTTTAAAAATGTATTTCTTTTCGCCTTCATTGTTTTTTGTTTGACACAGGGTCTAGCTATGTATTCTGGGCTGCTCTTGAACTCACTGTGTAGCCCAGGCTGGCCCCGAACACACAGCAATACCCATTTCAGCCTCCAGAGTGCTGACATTACAGGCATGCACCATCATGCAGCTCATCTTCATTCTTGAAAGGGATTTTCACTGTTTGCGTGAATCTACATTGGCAGCTGTTTTTTCAGTACAGACAGGATATCATCTTATTGGGTTTCAGAGGCTGAAAAACCAAGTATTCTCTTCAAGGTAATCTGTCATTCATTGATTGATTTTCTGAATTTTTCCTATGGTGTGTGGTTTTTTTTAAAAAAATATTCTTGCTTGACATTTGCTAACCTCTAGTAAACTTTCGTTACTACTGAAAACCCCCAGCCATTCTCTTTACTCCTTTTAGGACCACTCCTAAAATCACATCTGTGTCTTTCATATCTATTCTCCTGTTTATGTTGTTTTTCTATAGTGTCTCTCTTTGCAGCATTCAAGTAAGTTCTTCTAACTTATCTTTGGTTCCCAATTCTCTCTTATAAGTCCCATCTGCTGATACAATGTTCACTGTGATTTTAATTTTGGTTATTTTTTCCCTGCAAGTATTTTCCTTACATTGACTGTTATTTTTGCAGCTAACTGTTCTCTGCAGTTAATGTTTTATTTCCACCACTAAACAAAGTCTGTGTATTTGTTTTATATGTGTGATAACGATGCTAATTGTTTCTGAGCATTTTTAAATTTCTCATTAGTGACTGTTCCTCTGCCTGTTAGCCCTGTGCAGCCTGGTGACTTCTGATAGCAGTTTCTGCTCTTTACGATCACATACAGTAGATGTATTCACTATTTTGAGATGAACTGCCTTCCTTCAGTGAAATTCTGTTCATTTCTGCCAGGCTCCTGAGGAGCAGGACCTAAGCCAAATGCCCCATGGTCCCCGGTCCACGCTCACTAGGCATACCCAGAATGTACACGTGCAAGAGAGCCAGGCGGTAGGCAAACAGTCTCTCAGGGATGCAGTTCCCCTCCTTTTCTCTCTTCCAGTCTACCCACTGCCAGGCACCTTCTCCACGGTGCCCTGGAGCCCGGCAAACGCAGAGAAATTTGGTTTTAGTGATAAGTCCTTCAGAGACCCTAACTTCTCTGAGAAGTTGTACTTACATAAGCTCTGTCGGAACTCTGGCATCCCTATCTCTTACTGCTCTGATGAACCAACACCTATGGCCTTTGGCAAATGCCTTAAAGGCAAAACCCTGATAATCCACTTACCTCCCTGGGCTGGCCCCAAGCCCTTTATGGTGACTTCCTAAAATCTACCATGTGTTGCTTATGCAGTGGGACAGTGAAGTCCAAACAAAGTAACCTCATCAACTCTGCCAAACTACTATATGCGATGTGCATTTACGACAACAATATCACCCTAAGTGAACAAATCTGCGTCTCTGAATGGTCCCTTTCCTTAATAGAAAACAAGATTTCCGTTAGCATATTTTAAAGTACCAGCTCCAACAGTTTGTAGAATGTTATACACAAGTAAGCATTTGACAAATGTCTGCTAACAGGATGGAAGTTCCTCCTGATGAAGATTTAAAACCTAACACTTCAGTTTTCCCTTCGGAACCCGTGAGTTCACTGACATCATGTGGCAATGAGGGTATTTTCCACATAAGTTTTCCGAAAACTCAATTTTTCTTAAAGCATCCAAAATTACTTAACCACGTGCTGGAAAACTGGTGACCGAGTTAGTTTTATCTTAAATTTTAAAATAAAGAGTGCAAATATAATTTATCTTCTGTCCCTTGATGATTCACAGCTACTGTACTGTGCTATAATACAACTGAACAGCCAGCGGGGCTTCCCAAGTGGCACATTCATTTCACGGCACATTCTCAGCTGTACCTCGGGCAGCTGCTGTGCGCCCTGAGCATCTCTGTGCATGCCTGTTCCTGTCCTCTTTCTCTTATTATCAATTGTATTTATGTCTGCTCCCTGCCTACTTATCCAGCTTATACTTGGTCCTTCTGATTTTTTTTTCCTTTTTTGAGACAGGATCTGGCTATGCAGTTCAGGCTAGTCTTAAGCTCACTTTGTAGCCCAGGGTCGTCTTGAACTTGCAACGATACTCCTGCCTCAGCCTCCGGAGTGCTGGGATTCCAGGAGTGCGCCACCACACCTGGCTTTTTCTGATTTGTTTTGGATCCAAATGTAGGAAAGTGAACCAGGTAATGCTGTATTATGCCGAGGACAGGACTGCTCACTTGCCACTCTCTCTCCATCTTCACTTTTTCCCTTACAGAAAAAAACGGGATGGGATACAGAACATTACTAACACTACTGACATCATGTGGCATCTGTCTGTTTTGAGATAAAAACTGGAA